TGGTAAAAAGGTTTTAACAATTGATAAATATGTTTATGTTTAAGGTTTGTGTTGGCTTTATCTTTGGTTTATGATTTTTTAGAACAGATTTTACAGATTTATATATAAAAATAATTCGAAATATATAACTATTTACATATAGTTATATTACCTTTGGCTCTTTAGACTTAATATCTTTTCTTAAAAACTATCTTTTTGTTCAAAATGTAGCATTATTTAGTTTTTCGTTGCTTCCCCTGGAAAACCTGATTATTTCAATTTTTTTAAAGCTATTTTAAAGCAATACCAGTACCTAGTACTAGAAGAAAGGGTATTAAAACTTCGTCTTGAGAATTTTGGTTTGTATTTTTTTCGGCAAATGTTCACCGCAAATCAGTAGAAAGAAGAAAAAAATCCACACAGCGTTGGGTGAATGAGCAACCCTTTTTTAGATGAACTGCCTACTTACGCACTTGGCCCAGGGAGACGGAGAAGGAGAGAAGGGGGATGGCTTCGGGGGGATGGAGCCGTGTCGGCGGAGAAGAATGTCTGGAAGGCAGTCATTTTTTGGCTTTGGCTTTCGCTTTCATTCGATATTAAAAGCGGCCAAATCAATGATACCCTTTTTTAGTTAAGCAAAGTCTGGAATTATTGAAAATGCTGTAAAATAATAATAGAAAAAAACTTTTCGGTAAGGTAATATTTACTTGTTCTATATGGTTAAATATTGTTTATTGTTTAATACTTTTTTATATATATCCTTAAGTTAGTTTTACATTTTAATGTCAAATTGAAAGCCAAAAAATGCGTTTTAAGAATAAATTAGAGTTTAAGTCAGGACAGACAATAGATTTTAATTAAAAAAAAAATCAAATTCAATTAAAAATTTAAAAAAAAAATATTATTTGAAAATAAAATAAATAAAAAAAAATATATAAATAAAAAAAAATATGAATAAATAAATATAAATGGCTTAATAAAAAATAAAATGCTGAAACCGTTAAAAATAAGTCTTTTGCTACATAAACTTTGGGAAATTCAGGTGTTTTAATTTTTAAACTTATTGAAAAGTCAACAAAATATTGATAAAAATATCTAAAAAAAATCATTTATTTATTCAATATGGTAGTACAATTTTTTTTCAAAAGTAAAGTCAGTAATATTCTGTAGGAAAATATAAATAAACACAGCAATTGCTTAACTTATTAAATGTATTTAATTTCGTAAAGAAAATTATAAAAAATATATATCAAAAAAGGCAGAAATTGAACATTATTTAACATATATTTTCTCATACCTTTAACTCTTCCAACTTTGCTCTAGTTTTGTATTTCAAGAGACAATAATAAAGTTTAAAGTATAACTTGGAAAAACTATTGATTCCTGGAGTCCTTGTGCCAACACCATCATCTATGCATGAGACGCCAAAGACCTATTTATATGCGATGGCATACGATGGAGGTCCCTTTTGCCAGCCTTTCGAAGGATGTGAAGCGAGCTGAAAAATGGGTGTCAACGCATGAAACGCAACAAACAGTCATTTTGTGTGCGGTGGCAGGATTAAAAAAGCCCAACGAGGGGGAAGGCGAGGCGGGACTTCAAAGAGTTGAGTTGGCAAACTCAAATAACCCCATCACAGGACTCGAAAAGGGTTCGCCAAATTGCCGGGCGACGACGACGACGGCGGCGTCCATTCATTTGAATGCGGCGACGACAGGAACAGGAGGGGGGGCAGACCGACAGACGTTCGACTGATTTTGCGTTTTGTGTTCCAGGATGTGCGTGAGCGCAAGGATTCACTGGTGGCCCCAGGACTCGCTCTTGTTCTCTCTCTCTCTATCTCTCTAATGCTAATGCGAAAACGCAGGCATTTGGAAAATTTATTCAATTGCTGGCAATTCAACTAAATCACTCATTGGCTTTATTATGTGCGCCTAATTTAAATACACGCGCTTCGCTGTGTGTCCTGTGTGTGTCCTGTGCGACTTTGCACACAGCCCGAAATTTTCCCTTGAATTAGCATAGGGCTTCGGCTTTGCTGGAAATAATTCGAAAATTGAAATTACTTTGTCTTCTGCGGCTTGATTAAAGGCAGCCAAAGTCGCAAGGAGTCGTCAGGAGTAGCCAGGACGTGATAGAGTCTGCTCAGTCTTTTGCTGAGTCAGTCAGGACATTTTATGGCAGGTGTGGGTGGGCTGAGAGGTAGCTGAACTGCAATTGATTTCTGACAGGATAACAAAAAAGGTATTATCAGGTTTCTGAAGTCTCTATGGGTTAGGTTTGTGGCTTTTAAGAACATTAACCAACACTTATTGGTTTTCTCATTTAATTAAAATAATAATTTAAAATTTTTGTAAATTTTCATAGAAGAACTGAATATATTTTTAAGGAAATTTTTCCTTATATTTTCTTTTAAAATTATATATAATATACAATTCATTTCTAATAATAATAATATGATGTATAGACAAAATTTTAAATAAATTAATTAATTTCCACCATTCAGTGTCCGAAAAAAGCCTACCCTCTTCCCCATATCTGCCCTGGACATGATGTTCTGTTTGCTTCAGAATCTTTTTCTCTGGCTATAATTCCCGGCTCTGACTAATGCCGGCTCTGGCAGCAGAAGAGCAATGCTAAAAATATTTCAAATACGATAAATCAGTTGCCATTACACGCCGGCCGGCCAAGTAATCAGCCCGAGGGCCAGAAATATTTCAACTTGATATTTTCTTTTTCTACATTTGCTGCTGCTGCTGCTCCTGCTGCCCCGATAATTATAGACTACAGTTAACAGGGCACATAAAGCATAAAATGGCCAAGCATATGAAATGCGGTTGAATCTCTCAGGGCAGCTGGCCGGGGACAGCGAGGGGAGACGTGGCCCTTGGCTTGACAATTGATGTGAAATATAAGAAATACCTCATATATACATCCTTTGGGGTCTTACCTGAGAACCCAGAGCACACACTTCCCGTCAGGTGGCAAGAAATTCGATAGCTCTGGCTAATCAATGCCAAAAACGATCCGATTCGATCGCATCAGTGCATCCGTATCTGTATCTTTAACTGCATCTGGTGCCAAAAATGTATCTAATGCGGCAATTGCGCACAAGGACAGCAACAAGACAGCAAGACAGCGAGACAGCGCGACAGGATGTGTCAAGGATATCCGCTGCCGCACAAGTCTCTCATATTCAGGAAAATGTATGTTGTTTTGTGTTGCATTTAATTTTTCCGCTCTCTCCAGGCAAGCTGATGATAAATGCGATCCGCCGAAATGCTAAAATCGAGAAATAAAATCGATAGGCGGGGGAGGTGTCGCCATACAGGAAGCCCTAGCTTGACACATGAAACGTCCTGTTCAAAGAGCGGGGGGAGGACATAATAAAGGACCCTTGAGCGAACTTTGTATGCCCTTCTAAGGTAGAATTATAAGCACTAAAGCAAGAAATAAAATCGATTCTATAATCGATTAATCGGTTTATAGAATCGATTTGATCGAAAAAGTTATACGCGTATTTAAACTAAGGAAAAGTTAAGTGCAAGTTTAACTATTTTGATATTATATTTAATTATAATTTGTGCTCTTTTAAGAATTTGACAATTTTTCAAATTTGGCAAAAGTCAATGTAATTTTATTTTATAATTTTATATTCCTGATGCCATTTAAAAGATGAAAAGCAACAAAAGGATAATATATAGTTATTATTTGAATACAAATATCGATAGATAAAATTTGTAGACCAATAAAATTACAAATCTCTTATGAATATAAATATATAATTCGATTTAAATCGATTTTTATCGATTTATTTGTAGAATTTTTCCGATTTATTTCTAGCTCAAATAAGCATAAAAAATATATTAACTGTGTGAACACGTTTGTAGTTAGTAAAAGTTATCCAAACTTTGCGCATAAAATCATTGTTTATTAATAGCCTAAAGTTTTATTAGCACTTGATAATATATGGCCTTGTCGAACTCCCCTCTTTCCAAAAATTAGTGGAAAAATTGCGGCAAATGTGATCAGAAAGTGGAAAAACTCGGAGCGGGCCTAACGAAGCGGCGCAGCTCAATGCCGGTCCAGTCCTCTTATCCGATTTCCCCCCATTGTGTTCGCCAATTGTTTGGCGCTGCGATTCGCTTCATTCTTTTTTTATGCATTTTTTATGTATATCGAGTACATGATTGTGTTCGCTGTTCGACAAGTTCATAAAAAATGCAAACACGCTGCTCCTCCAACGGGTATGTTTGCCATCCGCCCGTGATTTATGAGAGAGAGAGAGCGTTGCCCATTGTCCTCCGGATTTTGGAATTCTGTGATTCTGATTTCTGATTCCGGACACCGGATTCCTTGTTCCTGATTCCAGATTCCCCAGATTCCCGACTCCAGAGAGCTCAGCTTACTGACCGTGCCGCATCCATTTCCATTTCCATTCCATTTCCGCTTCCGCTGGCCATGTTTCTCCATAAAAAAAGAGCAGAACAAAAAATATCTATGCAAATTTTCGTTGTTTACTCTGTCAGCTTTTTGTGGTCGTTGTTGCCGTGTTGTTCGAGTGTCGATTTCGAGTGGCAGCGACATAAAAAAAAGCACACACAAGTGCCTCAAGAGGCAGATACATATGTCGGGGTGGAAATCTCCATTTACATTTTTCAGGCAGTTCAAAAACAAGCCATAAATGAATATAAATTAAGGAAAAAAATTTTTAAATAAATATATAAAATATTGAAATTATCTACAATGCTAAGCTTTGATATATCGATATTTTAGGAATTAAAAAATATCGAAAATTATCGAAGCATCAGAAAACCTTCGATAAAGCATACTTCCTGCTCTTCGTTCTGCGATTTTTTCAAATTTTGTCGACCTGTTAATTAATTACTTAATTAATTATTATTACAAATTATTTTTGAGTATAAATAAAATTTATGATTCTATTTTTTACTTAAAACCGCACCTTCATTAATTTTTGTGTCAAAAATTTAAAAAGAAAAGTAAAGTCAAACATAGCATTGTTTTGTTAAATTCTGTAAAACATTTCAACTGAATTTTTATCTGAATTTTACGTAAATTACATTAAATATGGCTAGATACGGTCTACCCAATGAATCCTCGTCGGATGAAGATATCAACGATTACAGCTATGAGACAACCTTTTCCAAGCCTTTGGCCCAGTCCACGGCATACAAGGACTTGACCGGAACCGAAACCGACAACGATATCGATAAGGAGCCACCACTTTTGGAGGAACTGGGCATCAAACCGCATCATATTTACCAAAAGACACTGGTCGTGCTCAATCTCTTGAGTGACATCACGGATCAGGATATACTGGAGGACACGGACATGGCGGGACCGTTGGTCTTTTGCCTCACACTTGGCATCTTCCTGCTACTGGCCGGCAAGGTGACCTTCTCGGCCATCTATGGCATCGGCATTATGGGTTGCATATTCTTCAATTGCCTGCTGTCACTGATGGCCAACAGGATCCAGATGACTGTCATGATGGTGGCCTCCATGCTAGGCTACTGTCTGCTGCCCATGGTGTTGCTATCGTTTATTAATATTTTCATCACCATTGAGGGTACATTTGGTATAATTTTGACCATCTTTGCCGTGCTCTGGTGCTCCATATCAGCCTCGAAACTGTTGGCCACCGCTTTTGATATGGATAATCAACAATGGCCAATTGCGTATCTGTGTGCCATGCTCTATGGAGGATTTGCATTGATTACCCTTTACTAAGGATGTTATCCTAGCCATACATTAGTTGTTAATTGTTTGTTGTTTTCAGTGGTTTTTTCTTAGTTCATTTTAAATAATAGTATTATGTATATACAATATTTAATATTTGTTTCCTTGCTTAGCCTCATATATGCTAAGCTTGAGCTTGACTAACAATCAATACCATTTGAGATATTTCTATACGTCCGCTAAAAGTATTAAATACGGACAAATAATCGGACTTTCCGCATTACTTTCGCTAAATGTTCAAAAACGGACGCGCAAACAGACGAATAGCGGACAAGTATTGCGAATTCTCAGGATTATACTTGATAATAATGTCGTAAAAGGTTCGCTATTGAAATCTTATTCGGATCATTGCATTTTCTGCCACAAAAGCCATGACAGGTGATTAACTTTATTATCGTTTATGAACCTGAATCGTACGTTTTGTCTGCTTGAAATCCGCAAAACTATTGTTTTCAATGTCATAAACAAAGTTTTTGTCTGCTGGGTAACCTAAGGAGATTATTTTATACCTCCATTTATGGTTAGTTAGTTTTTTTAGCGGTTTCTCTTTAATTATTAATAAATATTAAAATATATTTTATAAATTTAAACTCATTTTCTTATATTCTAGCTTATCCCATAAGCTTGAGCTCCAATAAGTTGTAAAATTCCCTCTAAAAAATACATATATCATTTAAGTGAATTTCCTTAAAGTTGTAAATTATTTACCTTTAATTTGTACAAGCTTATTACACACAATAAAGCAAACAAATTATGGATGAGCGAATTTCTATATTTATTTAAAGGCTTCAGTTTTGTTTAGTGTTCGCTATAAATAATAGAAATTGCCCACTACAAGTCCATTGTTCCCAGCATCGGCATTTTTCTTTTTATTTTTGTGTTTTTATTTTTTTCACACATTGTTGTTAGTTTTGGTTGGAGGAGAGACTGTGAGGTAAACCTCATGACAGGCCCAGAACCGAACCCGAACCCACAACCCAACCGGACTTCATGGGGCCACACACACACTTTGTAAGTGTTTTGCGGTCGTAAATAATCTCGAATAGTTCGCAGTCGTTGCTGAAGTTTGTTACATGGCATAAATCAAGTTCTTGATTTATAATAATTGCAAAAACACTCACTCAACTTGGTTGAAGGGGGGTAGCCAGGGGGGAGCCTGGAACTGTCCGACACATGTCAACCGAGCGCCGTTGTGGTGTAGGAGAGAGGGGAATCCTGCCTCCTGGAATGGGAGTGGGAAAGGGACAAAAGTTATTGTTGTTGCCCCCACACGTCAGCGACAGACATAAGGTCCTAGATTTCAATAATTTCGTTTATTATATACTGTATCTTAGAGTTTTATAAATATCTATCTTAAAGATACTTTTGAATAAATGTATTTATTATATTGAAGTTTTAATTTCCCTAGTTCCCTAAACATAAATAATTCTATACAAACTCTTACATTGTTAATAAACTATAACCTACACCCACATTTCCCCCTCTGGGCTACTATCCCCGCCTAATACCCTGTAAAAGCGGAAATCACACCGAAAAGCAGGCGCAGCTAATCGATTTATTCCCTCCAAAGGGGAGAATTTTGTGTTAAGGAGCAGAAAAAGGGAAAAGGAAAAAGGAAAAACTTGATCAATTCGCAACGCTTTTTTTGTGGTCACAATGCATACAGGAAATATACCAAAATAGGGCGTGGCATTAGAGGGCAGACATTTAAATGCATTTTAATAGATTTTTCCACTCTTTTTTGATGTTGTGTTGTGTGGTTTGTTGTGCCAGGAAACGGAAAACAAAACACACACGCGTTGAGTGTGTGTGTGTGTGTGTGTGTGGGCGTTGGGTGGAGTGGGGTGGGCGTGGGCGTAACCCATATATTCGATAAACCGCAGCAAATCGAAAGAAACATTCGTTTGACACAAACAAATAAGCGAAGCGCGAACAATAAAATCAAATTAAATGCAGCAGAAAAGGAGCAATTTACTCGAGTCCTTTTCCTTTGCTCCCCCTAGGTCCTTGGTCCTTGGTTCTTGGTTCTTGGTTCTTGGTTCTTGGTCTCTTTGTTGTTGTTACCCTTGTGTGAGTTTCGAATTAAAGGCGCCTGGTCATTGTGGAGCCATTAGCGGTCCTCGAGCGCCTTACACCATTTTCCCCCAACCCCTGTAGCTGTTGTGTTTTCCCTCTTTCCTATTTTTTTTTTTTTTTTTTTGTGCTGTCAGCATGAAAAGTGGAAAATTTATTGACTGCACATATGTCGCACTTTTTCCCATTGGCTCCTGCCACAATCCGGCCCACTCCTAATGCACACATAAATATTTTAATTTGTATGCCGCAGATGCCGTCGTTGTCGATTGAGTTGTTCGTTGTCCTTGGTATCCTTTTTGGGCCACTTTAGTGGTCGCATCGAATCGAATTCCCCTCTAACCTGTGATGTCCTACCTTCAATCCTTCATATATCCTTAACGATTGTCACGGTTTGATGTGCCCGGCATTGATTGGGTCACGTGCCGCAGGACTCCTCATCGATATTCATGGGGGGATAATTATTTGATATTCAAATGTGGCCAAAGCAAAGAGGTCCCTAAGGACCTGAATTTCTTTCTGCTGTTAATTATAGTTAAATAAAGTCACTCAGAGGAAAACTCTACTAAAACAAAGTCATTATCCTGTCTCGTAATCAGAATATCTTGGCAAAGTCAAATGGCAATCCATCTGTGTGCTATTCATCCCAAGATTGCGATTCTGTGGCGATTATCCTTTAAGCACATGTCATCTTTTGAACCAGCACCCGCATAGCCTCGAAAAACAGAGGTCCTTGCTCGTAGGTCCTTGGGCCATATGCCGCAACCATCGATCGGTTCAAAAGACAAAGGACTCTCTCTCTCTCGATCGACCGCAGGTCTTAACAAAATTTATAATCACCGATGACCGATGTCGCCACGACTACTGCCGCCGCCTCCCCAAAAAAAAGAGGACTGCGGAAAAGTGAAAACCAAAAACATTTTCTAGTTAAGTCATGTCAGGACCTTTTCTTTTTTAGACACGCTCGCTTAGCGCAGGCAGCGAGATAATCTCAACTCAATTTGCTGTCCTCTCGTGTACAAGGATCGCAGATCCTTGGGCGCCGAACATCAAAACATCGATTCCGTGGAAACCCCTCGAAAAAAAAAGCGAAACAGCGGGTCAAGTGCAGCAGCAGCAGCATCCCCGATTATTTATGTTATGGGCCCCCGATCAAAATTAGAGCGATCTCCGGTTACCTCGCACTCCTTGGGAGTATCTGTAGTCCCTGCAGTATCTGTAGTATCTGGAGCGTGCCCAGAAGTCCAGGTCTTGTCCAAAAGTCGAGTATGTGTGACAACACTTTGGGTTATGTTCCACTTGTATCGCAGCATGGACTCTGGTTTTGGGTTTTTGGGGTTGCGTAACCCGGAGTGGCCTTACAGAACTCTCTCTGTGGTGTCGTTTGGCCACAAATTCTGGGAACTTGGCAGCCGCTGATCTTATGTCAGTGCCGCTGTCTTAAGTGGCCACTTGTGTCCGCGTTGTGACTTCATAATATTCCTCAGAGATGTGATTACATAATTTGTTTAATTTGTGTTTTCTGACAGGTTTCCAATCACTTTCATCCAGTAGTTTCTAGATGGAGCTATAAATCCAATTAAGGCGATGGAAAAAGGGGAAATTTCTCCAAGTATTGATTTTGTTAATGAGAAAATTGGTATTTAGAAGAACTATAAAACGAAAATCTATTTATAAATCTTTATTTTAATGTTACAAAATGTTTTCGTTCAAGAAATCACTAATATATTTTCAGTATTTTTTTATAAATATCTAAAGAATTGATTTCTAAATAATAAAATATGTAAATAATCCATATTATCGAAGACTAGATCAACTCGGCTGTTAATACTTATGAAGAATAAAAATACTTTAAATTTCTTAATATTTTTATATTTCTTTAAATAAGTTTATTTATTTTTTTTATATTTCCTTATAAAAATGTATTTATTTTTAATAATATTTTATATTTAATAAAAATAATTTTAACCTAAATATCTTAATATTTGTATATTTCTTCATAATATTTTAATAACTCCTTCATATTTTTCGCTCCTCAAACATTGATCACAATTGAATTAATTTTAAATATATATTTCTAAAACTCACCTTGCTGGGTGTTAATATCTAGCTGGGAAATTTATAAACAAAATCATTGAAAAGGCCCCCCGACCACATCATCTAATATTACCAACTTACCATGCTGCGTGTGTAACCCATACTTAAAATTACACTTTCGCCCCGAACAAGTCTTTGGGCCATTAAACTGACCAAAAACAGAAGAGGAGACGACGACGAATACGAATACGACTTCGAATACCTTATGTTCGGGTTAACTCCTCTACGCAATAAAGGAGAGACTCGGAGACGGCGAAGAAAAATTAACAAATCATAACATCATCATTTATCATCATTAACGGCTGCAAGATTTTATTTTGTATCTCTTGTTGTACTTTTTATTTCGGCTTGACCGCAGACTTCAGTTATAAATCAATCAGATTTTGTTTGCCATTTAGTGGGGCCCCGAAAAAAGGGAAAAGGGTTAGAGGCAACGCGGCGTATGATTAACGTGCGTGTGAAGTTGTCGGGCGGCCCCATCACACCCATCCCAGGGATTTGGGACTGAGACTGAGACTGGGACTGGGTCTACCAATCCGCCGAGGTTGTCAACCGCTTGCACAATCCCCCCCCACAGGCGAGAGACTCCAAAATGGAGGAGACCTGCATGGCTATGGGCGTGGGCTCTCTTCGGGGGCTTGGCGCTCACTCAACTTGAAAATTGATTGATGCCCGGGCAGGGCAGCCGGCAGAGAGCCGGCATAAATCAATATTTTATATTGGTCGCAATCGATCTGCGATCGGGCTATCTCTCTTGCATCGGATTGCCAATCTTCACGCCATCATCATCGTTCTGCCGGGGACACAAAAAGGTTTTCCGTTTAATTACAAAACTCTCTGGGTTGGCCACATGCGATCGATCGGTGGGGGTAAGGTGGGGAAAAATCGGGCCTAGGAGGCTTGCCGGGCGAGCAAATTGACTCCCCATTGATTGTCTCAGATTGAATATGCCCAAGATCGTGAGTTATGATCCTTGGAGTAAGCTAAAGAGGGTAATGGAAAGAAGCTGAGATTAAATTAAATTGAAACTGAATAGAGTCAGGGATTTCAGGAGCAAATCAGTTATAGGTTTTAGCCTGGTTTTGTTTGTTAACTATATTTATAAACTATGTATATATCTTATTAACTATATTTTTAGACTATATATATAATTCTATAGATATATCCACTTAATATTCATGATAGCTAGATAATGTGGCTATAAAAGCGCTACAAAATATTAGAGGTATCTTAAAATTCTCAAGTCCGAATTCCGAATGAGGAATTTGATCAAATATCTAATAATACATTTCTATTGTTGTTACTCTTTAATCCTAAATAATAAATTAAATAAAAATAAAAACACCCAAAGTCCTTTGGAACTTGATTTTGATTCGTTAAAAGAGAAAAGTTTCCATTAAAACAACCCTTTAAGCGATCGGCGCACCCAAAGCAGATCAAATTCGCCGGAAGTTGGCAAGCTTCCTGAGTCCCTAGACCCAAGGATCCCTTTTATTTTATACTACAGCCTGGGAAACCACCCCTGAAGGAGATCACAACAACCCTGAAAACGGAGAACCAAAGCACCCCTTGCCATATACAAAAAAGAAAGAAATATAAAACTGGAATCGCTTTTGTTTTTCGGTATAATTTTGTTCGTCTTTTTTTTTATTGTTAGGATTTTTGTGTTGTGGTTTTTGTCGCCTTGTTGGTAGTTGTTGTTTTTAATGCTTTTTTGTTGTATATATAATTTATCTTAAAGACAATTAACAATTATTATGGTACACAACTAGATGGTTTCTCTCATTCTATATATATATGGTATGGCTTAAATAATGCTATTTATTTATGTACAGACATGCAAAAAAAATTTCCTTAACTAGGGTTTCTCAAAAAAAAAAAGAAAAAATGGAAAAAAAATTCAAGTCCTTAGAGCTATGTTTATAGTTAATATTATTATAATATTTAATATAGGGTTTTTGTATATATCTTTCTTTTCTTTTTTGCTTTCTTTTTTTTGGGATTTTCACATACATTTTTTTCGTCAACAATAAACACAGAAAAAAAAACACACTAGAGGTTCGTTCTACGCTTGCTTTACCGCCTCTCACCCGGGGGGAGACTTTATGGCCTTGTTTATATCCTTAAACTGTAACAACAACTGGGTCTTGACCCGCCATCCTAGGCGGTGGCATGCGGATGATAGGCCGCTGCCCAGGCGTTGTGGTGGTGCGGATGCGGATGCGGGTAGCCATAGCCGGCGGTGCTCGCTCCAAACTCCGCCGGATAACTGGCCGCATACTCGGACTTCATGTGGCAACTGGAGCTAGAGTCCTGACTCGCCCCGCTGGCCAGGCCACTCATCGTCAGGCCGTATTCCGCCGCCAATTGTGATTCACTCTGCATGGCCAGGGCCGCGTAATGGTGCTGGGCCAGCACCGTGGCGGAAGCGGCGGGCGAGGAAGCTGATCCGGAGACAGAGCCAGAGCTGGTGCGAGTAACGGCGGCTGCTGCTGCTGCGGCGGCGGCGGCGGCAGCGGCTGCTGCGGCGGAGGATGAGGGTGAACTGGCGCTGGAGGACGCGGAGGAATTCGCTGAGGTAGTGGCTGGCTGTATGGCACGGCTGCTCCATGGCTCATAGCTGGCCATTTGCTGGGCGGCCTGCTGCTGCTGCTGGTGCTGGAAGAGCGGTGGTGGCGGCGGCGGTGGATTCGCCGTGGTGCCCGCCGCCTGCTGGTAGAGATTGGCATAGGGCGTGTAATTCACGAGCGGCGCTGCCTCCGGCTGCTCCTGCTTGAACTCAACAGGCGATGGGGCTAGCGGCTTGCCGCTGCTGGATTTTTTCTCCTTCTTTTCCTGCTTTATGGCCGCCGCCGCCTGCTCCTTGGCCTCTGCCGCCAAAGCCTTCTTGCTTTTCTTGTCCTTGAAGTGGGTTTTCTTGTGCTTGCTCAGGTGATCGCTGCGGGAGAACTTCTTGGAGCAGATGGGACAGGCGTAGGGGCGGTAGTTGGTGTGCGTCCGTCCATGCCGCTGCAGCTCGTCGGAGCGGGAGAAGCGTTTGCCGCAGGTGAGGCACAGGAACGGTCGCTCGCCCGTGTGCCAGCGCAGGTGAGTCTTCAAATGCGAAGCCTTCCCGTACAGCCGCTCGCAGCCGGGAATGTGGCAGATATGCTGCTTGCGGCCCCGCTCATCAGGACCCACAATGGGGGGCAAACCGCTCATCTCGTTGGTGCAGTTGGGGCATGTGCAGCGCACAGAGCGCCGCTGCAGTTGGGTCTGGAAGGCAATGTCGTCAAAGTTGAAGCCCGGATAGCTCTGAGAGCTCCATGGCTGGTACAGGCGCTCCTGGTGTGAGAACCAGGCGGCGGAGGAGGACATGCCTACCGCATTGCCATAATAATCGGAGGCGTACTGGGCATAGGGGAACTGGCTTCTGGAAGGAAAGGGAAATGGGGGGGAAAAATTGATTAGTTAAAATTTGAAAACAAATTTAATATTTAATAATTGTTTCTGGTATCAAGATTTCTACCTATTATTAGGTTGTTTATTTGATTTTAATAATCATTTTTTATTCCTATCATTAACAAGTAGCTTAGACTCTTAATGTGCATCTTAAGATCGTTATCAAGCGGTTATAAAGCTTATAGACTTTACTTTATGCTGATCCTCTTGCTTATTGATCTATAAAATGTACCATAACCTGTACTTAAATCAAATTAAACTGCAATTAACCATACACTCAGGTGTTCTCAGGTGAAATTTATCACTTTTAAAGACCACTTTGTATAACTATTGTAATATTAATACTCGAGATTGAGTGTTATGTTTTGCAATTTATAATTAAAGAAACTGTAAGCCATAAGTTAAGGCCCTAATGATTCTGCTTATTTTTTCTTAAAATATCATCTTCAAGATATCTATTTCAAAATCCCAACTTCAATATTTCTCTGTTCTAAACCGAAGATATTTACCTTGCCGGTCCTAGACCAGAGTAGGCGGTATTCCAGCCGTAGGCGGCACTGGCCACCGCTGCTGCTCCCAGATCCGCGGCTGCCGCTGCTGCTGCTGCCGCCGCCGCTGCTGCCGAGGCAGCGGACGAGGGCGAAGAGGCCGAGGATGAGGACGACGCGGATGATGATAATGATGAGGTTGCCACTGGTCCACTGGCTCCCGCTCCAGAACCAGCACCTGTACCCGCTCCCGTTGGTGCCGCCATGGCGGACGTTGTGGGTGTCGAGGGACTGGCGGATATGGAGGCAAAGGATTGGGCGGGCGAGGGGAAGATGCTGGGCGAAACGGAGGCGGATGAGGGCGCCGACTGGATGCTGGAGTTGGGCGAAGCGGTGCCGGTGGATGAGGCCTGCGGATATGGTAGCTCCAGCTTCATGGGCGCCTTGCCCGCGGCTACCGCGGAAGCGGATCCGGAGCCGTACAGCGGTGAGCTGCCGGAGCTGCTGCTGGAGCTGCTGCCGGATAGGGATGGTGGGGCGGATAGCAGGGCGGCGCTGAGGAAGTCATGTGGCTGGGGCTGCTGTGTCTGCTCCAGTGCTTGCTGCTGCTGTTGCATGTGGTGCTGCTGCAAGTGGAGATGGTGATGCGGCTGCTGCTGCTGTTGCTGGTGATGATGGTGATGGTGCTGCATGTGCAGGTGCTGTTGCTGCTGCTGCTGTTGCTGCTGCATGGTGAGCTGCTGCTGCTGTTGCGTTTGCTGCTGCGCCTGGTGCTGGTGCGCGTACGGATTTAGATTTAAGTAATTGCACGCCGCATCGATCATGATGAAAGCTCTACGGGATGCGAGTTGCTGCGGAGTTTGCTGCTGCTACTGCTGCGTTGCTGCTGTGCGGCGTAGATGTGTCCCGGTTGTGTGTGTGTGTGTTTGCTGCGTTTGTTAGCAATTTTCGCACATTGCTCGCACTTATTGATACTGCGCTCGTGTAATTATGGCACGCTTTTCACTTTAGTTTTGTAATTATAGTCTTTTGCGGCTGCCTGGTAATTGCATGTACGCGAAACAACGACAAGAACACGGCAAAAAAACACAAACAAATTAAAGGCCGCCGAAAATTCGCCAATATAAACGCTTAACTTCGTATACACATGCGTTCGTGTGTGTGAGTGTGTCTGCACTGGCCGTTACGTTACGTTATGATACGTCACGTTACGCACATGTATGTACAAATATATATATATAGTTCCGAAAACAGAGCCCTCGTTCCTCTGCTGCGTCTGATTCTTGCTGCTTCTTCGTCTGCTGCGGCTGCTGCTGCGCGTGATGTGATACAACCACCGGTAATTATCGTCGATTCTTGACTGAATTCCGAAACGCTGCGAGAGGCTCTAACAACGTACGAACCGAATCACTGACGACGACGGCAGCGGCGAGGGCAGCGGGCAGCGGCCGCAGCAGCGCTAGCGCAACGCTCGTGCTGGCCCGCTCTGGCAGCCGGTAACGAGTGCGGGTCGGCTCTTTGACTAATGTGTTTGCTCTCGCTCACTCGCTGCCATGGTGGTTGTTTTTGTCTTTTAGCTCCGGGGCATCTCGCTTCGTCTCGCTCGCACGCCCACGCCATCTCGCGCCTGCCGGGGCTCCTTTCGGCTGCTCTCTCTACCTCCATCTCTCTCTCGTTTGCTCTCTCGCTCGCTCTCGCCCAACTACTGCTACTCTCTCCTGTTGTTGTTGCTGCTGCTGTTGCTCGCGCTGCTGCTGCTGCCGCGGGCGTTTTGTTTTAATTTCTATGTGTGGGTTTGTGTGTCAAAGCAATTGGGTGAGCATGCGTTTGTGTAGTTGTTGTTGTTCTTGCTCTCCGTGTTTTGCTCCTGTTGCAGTTGTTGTTTCTGGGCTTAAAGGCAAACATGTTCAACAATAAAAGCTTTAAAAAAAATATCTGAAAATAAATATAAATTGTTTTTATAAATAAATAATTTAATAATAATTTCATAAATAATTTGTATATAAATTAATCAAATTAAGATCAAAAGGATAATTTCATAATTCAAAATTATAAAAAGGGGTTTCATACCTAAAAATAAACTTTGCCAAAAAATTCAGAATAAAATATTTTATCCAAAAATAAACATTGAAAATAATTTAAAAACTTAATAAATCACTAAGAAAAATATATTCGAAACTCTCTAAATTATTTTACAGATTTTTTACATTTACTATTTTTAAATTATTTTAAAAATTGGCCACATTTTATAGATAAGTTTCCTACAAAAATAAGCAAATTTCCACATATTGAATTTGTTACTTTCATTTTTCCATAAACCCTTACAATTCGCCTAATTTCTTTTCACTTTATCTATTTTTCAATAGATTTTGACAGCCATAAATCAGTCTAGTTTTTACAAAAAGAAAAAAAAAATAAGCATCCATTATTTATTCGAATATCTGCTTAAATTCCCATTACCCCCACCTCCCATGCCCTTCAATTTATTTTCGACGAAAGTAGGAATAGAAAGAGAGAGCAGCCAGCGAGCTCGCATGGCTCATCATTTTAATTAAATTAAAATTTCTGTTTAATGGCATTTAATTTTTCATTTTACACCCAGCAAAAAAAAGATAAAAGAAAAACAACAAAAAAGAACAACCCAACACAAAAAGCGAAAGAAACAAGAAAGCAGATTAAGAAGAAGAAAGAGCGGGCATAATTCAAATATCAATACAATAACAATAAAAACTAATAAATTTGTGGTCGCGGCCCAATGAAATAACTGTATTTAAAGGGGCGTTAACCAAACACCACCACAAAGGAGACAACAAGGGCGAGGGAGACCTGCTCGTATCTCTCTCTCTCTTTCGCTCTCTCTCACTCTAGCAGTTGGTCTCGCTCACACTCCCGCCTGCTTGCGGCTCTGTCTGTGTGTGCCCATGTGCGCTTGTGTGCTGCATATTAATCACAATTGCTGTGCTGAGTCTCTCGCTGCTCCCTTTTTATTATGCGGCGTCTTTTTTATTACGCATACGCAACGTGGGCCCGGGCCACAAATTTTACGATTTGCTGCTGCTGTGAAAAGATAATGATGATTCCCAAAACGAATGGAGCTTTGCTCCCAGAGCTGATCGACTCCAAAAGCACCCTTTTAAAGTACTCGCTATTTATATAAAAAATGCTTGGTTATCTTTACATTATTCTTATGCCAAATTAAACTTTATTCTTTGTGTATTCATTCGATTTGACTAAGATTTGGTATATGGTTTAATAATGATTAGACCTTCTTACATCCCAAAGGGTTCGGTTATCCTAACATAATTTTAAAATCTAGGTCCTCTATATTTCCCATATCTCGTATAAATTAAATATTTATTGAAAGTAAATGATAATGAAAATGAAACCATATTTATTATTATTATATTATAATTTATTTATTTACAAAAAGAAAATCTCAGCTAACCCAAATCGAGCATAGCCCCACCTTTGTGGGGTTTGCGAGGTATGCGACTGTGGAGACTCTCTGGGCAACATGTAATGAAACGGAAGATACAATTATATTGAGGCAGCCAGCTAGGGATACAACAAGGAGCCTGTCTCGTGCTCTTGTCCCTCCTTCGTTATCCTTCTTCCTGCTTCCCTTTTTACGGCCCTACTGGTGCCTCTGGCTCCTCCGACTCTTTTGGCTACCGAAGATTTATGACAATGCTGAAGTCAACTAGACTTGAAGACCGTCTGCCGGCCTAAGCCTTACCTCCTCATCACTTCCTCCTTCCCTCTTCTTTCCCGCCTCCCTTTTTCCTGCTGCCTACTGTTCGTTTGCCCCTCCTGCAGGAGTCCTTGTCCTTGTTCTTGTCCTTGGGCCACAGCGTCGCCGCATAATCAATTAGCAAAAAGTCGGCGAAGCCGCTGCAACAGCAAGGAACGTTTCTACTATCCCTATCTAACGCCCCCAAGCCACCCTCTGGGGCCACGCCCTGTTTTTTGTATCAGTAGGTCAAGTAAAGTTGGGAAATCAGTGGTGTGCGAGTGTGTTTGTGTATAACGGTAGCTTCCCCAATGTAATTTGTGGTTTTAGGAACTTTCCAGAGAAAACCTTAGGGAAAGTTAAAGCCTTTTTTAGGGATAGAAGACCAAGGAAATTACGAAATTATCTTAGGGTCTATGAAAGTGTAAGAGTTTATAATATTATTAAAAACAATTGTCTATTTTTTATTTGAACAAGGTTTTGTTTTAATTATATTTAATGTTGAAAATAGTTTTAAGCCTTCCAACCACCAGTGATGTCTAAAATCAATGAAAATATATACTTGAATAATTTTTTAATTAATTATTTATTTAAAAAACTATCTTCCCTTTTAAATTAGAATTATAGGAAGTGATTTCGAATACCAAAGCCTGCCTGTAAATCTCTCACAATATTGTGCAAAAACTAGTCTTAATCTATTTTGAAGGAAGCTAGTCCCAATCTGAGACTCAGTTCGATCCCTACAATCCCGTCTAAAGCCCACAACACTCGGCCCACGCACAATCCTTTCCCTGCCAGCCCCAAATCAATATATGTATATATATTAGCCAGTTCGATCCGTTGCGTTAATCAATTGATTAGCCGGGACGAGCCCACCAAACAAGGACGAGATCAACGGCGGCAGGTAGCAGTCATAAGCCTCGGGTTAAGCTGGAAAAGTTTTGACTTCGCCTCATCAAAGCTTCTCATCCGCGGGATTTCTCGCTGGATCGACGATAATCCTGCAACCAGATCTTGGCGATCCGACTGGATTACCCCGTATGTTTTGCTACCTAGCCCCCGACTCGGTTACGCCTGAATCGTAATTATTGATTTCCCTTTTTGGGCAGAGATTAAAGCCACAACTGAGTTTTTGTACACTCAGCGAAAGACAAGGTATTTTGTTTAAAGTTGTGATGGAATATTTTTTTAAAGGTATTGTAAATTCCAGATATGATATTTAAATAAAGAACATTTATAAAAAATATAAAAAATACTAAATATATAAATATAATAATTAATATATAAATATAATAGAACATTTTAGCATAATAGGAAGAAAAACATGGATAATATTGGAGAATAAAGTAGCATCATGCTATCTATCTCGCTTACTATGGTTTAAGTCTCGGATAAGCAATGCATATTTATAACAATTCTTTTTAAATTAAATTAAAAATCAATGTAAATATTTTTTCCTGATAAATCTTTTAAAAATGCCTTGTAATAATTTCTTAAATTGAACGATAAGGTACTAGTATCCTAGTCTCATTTTAAATAAACCTCAATATTTCTAAATATTCCCATCTAAATATTCTACCTTTGATGATGATCCCAAATATTAATGACTGATAAAGTGTGTAAGAATTTCTGCCAGTGCACCCCTATCCTGCCCACTTTGGTTTTGGTGGTATCGGATTAAACCGCACCCTTTGGTCAGGACTGTGGGTTGGGTTCGTGGGTGGCTAGGCTAGGTGACTGGGTGACTGGATGACCCGGTGACCAAGTGACTGGGTGGTTGCGCTCCTGCCGCGGGGTGCCATAAATGCATAATCCACGTTTTACGATCGCTTAGCAGGAAAAGTCAAGGGATCGTCTGCGGTAATCCACAGGCGAAAAAGAGAAAAAGATCATCTGAAAGAGAGAGAAAGCGTATCCTGCCAGGTAGGACTCAAACTTCAATTGAATTCGCAGTGCCGGAGACTCTCTCGAACAGCGTAAATCCTTTAGCTCGGCCTTAACCCGTTATGCAGATTTGTGTTAATTGGATTTATGGGGATTTTCGCATCTAAATCCTTTCACTGTCTGCAAATATTTTGGCCTTTCTAGCGTCTTGCCCCGTTCTTCGTCCGGAGATTAAATAAATCTCCGGGGTTTTTTTCGCCAATTGACTTGGCTTTCTGCTACATATACATATATCTTTCTTTCCTATCTCTCCATAATCTTAACCAGATATATCCCTACCCATGGCTAACTATCTGTGACTTTTTGACAATCTCTCTGACTTTCTGTAAAGTTAATCTGGGTCAGGGATCTGGGTTTTAGATTCAAATATACAAAAGAACAAGCTTAATTATATTTTATTAATTTTTTTTTTATTAAATCTTTTATAATTTGTTACTAAATAATTGACATTAATTTAGTGCTTAAAAACATATTTAGCTCGAATTTCCTTAGTTTTAACGAGAGGCAACAGCTGGTGCAGGACCTCATCTGAGCTGATCCTGGCAACGCCCCCCAAAACCTGGCCTGCACTACCCTTCCAGCTCCTCGTCCCTCCAATTCCAATCTTCCATGCCTGTTTGACAACAGATTGCGCAATAGCCAGAGGACCCTTTATGGTCCGTCCGCACTTGTGGCCATCTACGATTTCCCCGATCTACTCGGACTTCCACGGAATTCTCTAATCAAGCGGCAACGATGCAAAAAAACAAGAAAAACAACACAAATTCCAGAAGAAAACAACAAACGAAAAAAAGGAAAAAAAAAACACACAAAAGTGAAACAATAGCTACGAACAATAAATTTTAATTTCAATAATAAATATTGCCCGATTCTCTCCTCCTTTATGACGAAGCGTGTGTCGCAAGTGCAGGGGGGGAACCGCGAACAAGATATTAGATATCTCCCCGGGGACCGTTTTGCACTAAAAATGTCAACAGCATCAATTTACAGCCCCTAAATAGGGGTAGAAGAAACGAGCCGATCGGTGGCTAGAGAAGAGAAAAGAGAGAGAGTGCCGAAACAAGGGGATTCTAACACTTCCCGGGAAATCACTTGGCCGCGCACAAAAAAATCCTTAGATGTCCGAGGATCGAAGCACTTGTTGGTGCACTTGGAGAAATTTTCTTCCTTTTTAATAATTACATATTTATTTTTAAAGATTTTTCCTTAAATTTACAATTAAAAAATTTAGAAAAAAAGACCATAAAAAGTGGTGTTTAGAAATCATAGCCTACTTTTTGAAGGCACAATCCTGGCAACTTGGCTTATTTTTAGCAACTTTGTATTGCTTCAAGGATATGTTTTATGATATATTTCAGGGATATATATAAGGACTCGTTTTACACAGTTTTTGCTTATAATAATTTAAAAACATCTTTCCTGTTCAGCTCCCAACTCTTTCACCAATATCCCTTCTCTTAGCATTAAATAAATACCCAAAATATCAGCAATTATTTCTCCAAGTGCAGTGAGAACAGAAGCTGCTCGAGGAGAATAGGAGAAGAGAAGAGAAGAAGCCGCCGTGCAGTGCCGCATAAATGGGGTGTCGAAATGATCATCAGTTGAGGGCGCCCCGCGGCGGCCTGCTTCTCTGATCTTTGCACCGCACGCCCCGCTGCGCTCCTTCCATGGCCCAAGGACCAAGCAACTGAGCAGCCCGAACAGGACTCCGATCGAAACAGTGGCAAACTGGGCAATGCATAGAGAGGGCCTCTGCCACAATAAAAAGGGAGGAGAACGGGCCATGGGAAAAATCGATGTGATTTTTAGTGCCTCGTTGTATGCATGTTTGTGTGTTGCGAAAATCAGGCGACAAAGGTGCCAGGACAAAGGACAACTAATTGGTCCGATTCCAAATTGCGAGTCGCTGTTCTTTTGAGCCTTAGAACCTGCCGCTGCTCCTTTGTGCCCTCCTCGGGGCTTTTTGTTTTCTGTCGGTACCAGCGACAGGTTCAAAGGGAAGAGTCCAGTTCATAGTTTGCAGTTGGAAAAAAAACCAATATTTATTAACCCCTGGATAAATAAAATGCTTAAACATTAATTTAAGAAATTATTTTTTATATTTTCATTCATTTTCAAGATTTAAATAATATGTAAAATTATAGTTTAAAATTTACCTTCTGTTAATCGATTAAAATTGTTAAGCCTATAATATTAAACCTCTTTATATTATTTAATTTAAAAATATTTTAGCAACAAAAAATATAAAATTTTGTTAGATTTTTATAATATATATTTTATACAATATTTTATACAGTCTTTAGTAACAAAAAACTGGTCCAGAACATGCAGCAGCCAAAGACGGGATTTGATTTGCCCAAAAGGATCCGCGAGAAGCCGCAAGGAGCACCAAAGCCTTCTGGAAAATAAGAAAGAAGAACAATTTTTTTCCCAGTATAACAGCAGCGCGACAAATCTAATAACAGACCTCTAGCGGCTTTTAAGAGAACCTCTTTTTCTTTTAAGGGCGCTGTCAGCCGATGCTGTATAACAATGTTTTCAAACTGTTATAAAAAAGGTTAGGAACATTGATGAAAAACTTTGCTACGCAGCTTTGTGAGCACTTCTTTTCCTAATATCTCTAACAATTTTCGCCAATGATTCCATTATTCCCATTTTCCCAATTTATCCCACAGTATGTGGTTTCAGTTATGGCGAAAATGGTAGAAAATTGTTAAAAAACTAAAATAGCTGGAAGCTGTAATCGATAAAACTGTTATAAAACGGTTTGAAACATTGGTAAAACCTTAATACTTACTGGCAAAAAACTATGCTAATTTTTTCGTGATTGTTTTCCTGCGCTTTTCGCTAAAGATACAGTTTTTCCGCATGCTCCCCCGTTTTGCGCACCTTTAAAACAAGTTTTTTAAGTGCTGAAAATTACGAGGGAAGAGCAAAATGGTTAAAAACCCGAAGTTTTCCTTGCGCTGACACCATTCATTTAGGTGTGACCGGTTACGATGTGAAATCTTAGTATTATTATCGGAAAAGCCCACGGGCACACTCCGAAACTATCGCGCTATATTTGAATAATAACAAAAACTAATTAAATTTACTTAAAATACGCTATTGGTGGTGACCAGGCAAGTCGGTACTGCTATTGCCTCCATAATTCACCGGCTTTAAAAGACCTGAGCCCAATTCCGGCGTCTGGCGAGTTTTTGCATACATTGTTCCTGAAGCCAATTGGAAAACTAGGCAATGCCTGGGTTTGACATCATCGAATCATCATTAATGGAATAGCTTGTCAATTTACTTCATAAATAATAAGTACCCCTCACCTGTTTGCAGGAACATTTGATTTAGGCTCTGCAGGGAATTGCTTTTGCTGATGATGTGTCATCGCATCTTAATGAAACCCTTTCCAATTGTCTTTTTTATTATACTTAACAACTTAATTGGTTTTTCTGAAATTAGGTAATTTTTATACCCATTTAATTTGTAATTTATGTCTGTGATATTTATAATGATAATTATAATATAATAATAATTTATAATTATAATTTTTGTAATTTTCGACCTTATAAAGTATATATATTGTTGATCAACCGATTCGATCTAACCAAGTCTGTCTGTCCGTTAAAAAAATTAGTAGTTTGCCGTTTTTCAACACATTTTTACCGAGGAACAGAATTTCAGTTTTAATGTTTAAAAAATCGGTTATTTTATCATGCTATAGAAACGATCGAGAAATTAGTATAACCAAAAAATTATAGCTTAGCTCAACATATTTTCATCTCATTTTTTTTTATTTTCTGTTTTTTTATGCAATTCGGATAAATATAAATATATATGTATATATCTGTAATTGAAACGACCGCTAAACGTATAGGAAAATGTAAGGGTTTTATTTTCATTTGACCAATATTGATCGATTTTCAATGATTCAATTGCAAAGAACTGGAAGGGTATACAAATTTAGTCGCCCCGAAGCTAGAATCTGTTATTACTATTATATTGTATTTAATTATTAATTTTTTTATTATTTTAGTTATTACTATAAATATGTACAAGAAAATATTACAAAATTCTATTCAATAAGAAAACGTGTCTGCCCACATATTATAGCGGGTAATATAACTAACTATTAGATTATTAATACATATATTTTACTGTGATATATGAAATATGGCTAGAATTTCTTCTAGAAGCCTCGCTCCGAATATAGCTGAAAAATTAAAAATAGCCAGCGCGGCAACACTGACGAAGAATGTTCGCTACAAGAGAGGTGCTGGGCTGAAAACGAGAAAAGGGGGGAAAATTGGCGCAAATTTAACACGCGAGACACAGCCAGTGATGGATCAGCCCTTGCTATAAAGGTGTGTTTTTAAAGGCTCCGTGGAGCGGCAAATAAAATGCCGCAGATTGGAATTGGCGGAGAAAAAGAATTAAATAATAATAAAAAGTCGGGCATAATTCTGAATCTCGCAACTCGCTGACGCGTCTCGCTGGAGTGTCGCTCACTGACTCAGCCTGCATCCCGCTCGCACGCATGCCGGACATGCCAGTCAGATAACTAGCCATCCCGTTCTATTCCGTGTCAACGTGTCGGTGTGTGCGTCAGTGTGTCAGAGTGCAAGCGTGTGTGCGCTGTGTATGTGCAACAAACAACCGCGGCCGCTATAACAAAAAAATTGTAAATAAATACTCTATCGATCAATACAGCGCGCGAAAATCGAAGGTTGTACTCGGAAAAAATATTGAATAGTCCGAAAGGTTTATTCTGGCCATAGATTTGGGCGATGGTCGACGTATTGGGGCATTTCTTGAACAATTTGAAATTAATTTGTTCTGTGCGTTGTTTGCATGGCCACCGGTTCGTCGGACAAGGACGGCAATAGTGCTGCGTCCTGTGGCCGCTGTTTTCTTTCTTCCTCTCTTATTTTCTCGCGGCGAGAGCCAACAGAAAACCCGCTCACTAGAGATGCTCAAATCCAGTGACTCTATTTTATTTTATTATTTAAACAAATGTTTGTTTATTTTTTGGGCTTTATTTTATTATTATTATTTTATTATTATTTTATTATATGCAATGTATTAAAATAATAATCAAATATATCAAGCACATGATGAATAAGAAATAGGTTATGTTTATTATTTGAAAGTAATTTTTCATTTATATTAATATTAGTATTTTTGTACTTATTTTGAGATGGGCACTACAGTCTTTAACATAAAATATATTATTTTAGATCTCAAGATTTTGATTTTGTTGGAAATTTGATATTTTGCAAAATTATAATTTTATAACGAAAAAATCTCCAAATAAGAAATTATGTGGAAATATTTTTATTTACTAATGACCAATACTAGCTTAGCGTGGATATTTGCATTATTATTATTTATTTTAAAAAATCAATACAATTTTACAACAAAAGCTCATAAACCTCTATCGATAGATGATTCACAAATACTGTTCAAAATTCTAATTTTCGTTATTTTTTAATCAAGTTTTCTTCGAAATTAAGGCCAGGAATGTTTTTCGTTACCCTTCACAGTCAAACACCTATTATTCATATCCTTTCATACGAAAACTTCTCTGGGCCGTAAGGCTAGTTTTAAATTTTCGAAAAGCAGTGACATAAAAATATTTTGCCGATTGTTGCTGGTGAGTAATGCTCATCTCTGGCGCCCTCTCGCTGTTTCGTTATCTGGCGCGCCATATGTACGCGCACTCGCGCCGCTCTCAGAGAGCCAGTGTGGCGTGAGCGGTACTCGTCGCATCGGGCCGTGTGAAAGGGACGGAGCGCTACACACCGACGCAGACGGCGAGACGAGAGAGTGGCGGTGGACCTAAACTATGCCGTGTGGATCGTGGACTTTGTGGATTCATACTGTATCGAAACGCGCAAGAAGACGGTAACAAAGCGGACTGAATTTTTTTTTGTTTAGTGTGCGAAAAAGTTTGTGGGAATTTTAAAAAATTCGGGAAAAATGTGAAAAATCAGTGGTATGAATTCGAAATTCGGCGAAAATTCGCAGAATATTACAAAATTCGGTGCGTGGCAAACGGTTGACTTTAAAAAAATTAATTCCCGGTCGAAAAGCGGGCGAAATTTTTTTCAAATTTTCCTCGGCATTTTGCCGAATTTCGGTTTTTCTCAGAATAATTTTGCGATTTTTGTGCCGGTTGTGAAAAATCAAAACGCTGGCGACACAACACAAAAAATTTCTGCAATAGAAACTTTGATACGACGTGAAGAAGAAAACGAAAAACGACGAGCGGAGGAGCGAGCGGACACAGAAAAAAATGGAATATATTTCTGTCGTCTGTTTTCTTTCTTTTTCCAATGCTCCTCGCACTCGTTGCCGCTTACCGTCGTGTGTGTATGCACACCAATGCCGCTTACTACCACTACCAGTGCACGCGCCGCGAGAGCGCTCCGCTCTTGCTCTCTCTGTCGAACTCGTGCTCGTGCTGGCACTCGCTACGTGTGGCTGTGTGCAGAGTGCTCGTGTGTGTGGAGAAAACGTCGTCTCTGGGAGAATTTCTGTACGCGCGCCCCATCTCGCCTGTGCCAGTGTGTGTGCGTGTGCTAGTGGAGCTTGGCAGTGTGTGTGTGCGAATGAAAGCTTTTGTCGGGCAGCCCCACTATGTCCGTCCCGTTCGCGGTCCACTCGCCACTCGCCGCCCCAACAAATTGAATTTCATATGATGGCCGCTCTGAATGCGGAAGCAAAATCAAAATACGGCGACTTTTTCTGCAAAATTAACTCTATTAACCATCAATCGGTTCATAGGGATTTATAGGGAATTTTTTCTTTCGTGCTTGGTTAGATTTCAGAACATTATGTTCCGCAGTAATGGAAAATTCATAGAAAATGTTAACTTTATATTAATATATATTTTTTTCATTCTCCTTTAATACGTTTTGTTTTTTTATATCTTAGTAAATCTCATAATTTAAAGTTATTTTCATGGCACTTGTTTTGTGGGCCTGGCGGCAAAATAGGTTTTATTATTTTCCTTTTCGTGTGTGCGCCAAAAGAGCGAGAGGCGAACACACACACGTCTGCGCCAAGTAGCGAGTTTTGGCGAATAATTGCGAGACAAGAACAACAACAACAGAACGCACACACGCTCCCACGGCAGTCGGAGCTGACCGAGACAGCGAGTGGTCGTCAAGCGGCAAAAGAAGAGGAGCACAAGTACACAGACAAGAGAATTCTCCTCGCCAACGTTCCCTTTTCGCCCGTTTCCCTTTTCCCGTTTCGTTCCAACTCGCGCGCGGCTAAAAAAATAAATAAATACTGCATTCGACACATATTTTACTGTGCGATTTGTTGTTTGCAAAATTCTAATAGGCTGTGATTTAATTTTTTGGTTTTTTTTTTACCACTACAGTTTATGTGCAATGGTAGAGGGGCAATCGGCGGAAGAAGCAACAACATCTACGGCAACAGCAGCAGCATCAGTAACAAAAACAAACAAACAACAACAGCCAACATGTGAAATGCTTTTTTTGTACCCAAAACAAAATTAAATGAAAGGAATCAAGTGCAGTAAGAGAATATTTATATTATCATATACAACTGTAAGTTAAATAACTGAAGAATCGCATACAAAAACAAAACAAAAAAAGCCGCCAAAAAAATTCAAACAAAAATTGCAAGCAAAACAAACAAAAATAAGAAACAAAAAATGAAACAAGAGAGAACGAAAAAGGAGCGACGAAACAGCATCAGAAACAACAGTTAACTTTGGTGTATCAACAACAATTACAGAACGGCAACAAATCATCTTCCATTAGCAACGGCATTAACAATAGTAACTAAAACAACAACAACGACAGCCGCTGGAGGAGGAGGAACAACAACACAAGCAGCGCCCAACCAAGGTCAACTTTTGGTGTGGGGCCCAACAACACAAAATGCACGCGTGTGTCTGCTGCTGTTCGACCAACAACAATTGCAACAACAACGGCAGCAGCAGCAGCGGCAACAGTAGCAACGACAGCAGCAACTTTGAGCAACAGCAACAGGAGCAAGCAGCTACCAAGGATCGGGAGCAGAAGCAACAGGAGCAAGATAAGGAGCCGGAGCCGGAGCAGGAGCAGGAGCAGCGGGAACAACACCTGGTGCGGGCTGGTGGCGGCGGCGGCAACGACAACGATAACAACGATCTCAACGGCGCCGCAACGAGGAGGCGTTGGTGGTTGCGTGGTCCTCCAGGATCTGTATCCTGGATTTGGACGACAGCAACAAGGTGGTGCCCGCCGGGTGTCGTCGCGGTGACGATAGCGCCGATACCGCCCACGTTGCTGGCCACCGGCCCCGAATCAGCTGTAGCATCAGCAGCATCATCAGCAGAAGAACCAGCGCCAGCGGGATCCGGTATAGGATCGGAATCAAAAGCAAAAGCAGGAGTATACTCCGCAGCTACCTCGAAGCTCCAGCTCCAGCTGAGGCTACAGCTATTGAAGCCAATCCAAGGACAAGGAGTCCCAATCGCAAACGCAATCCCAGCCAGCCAGCCGGTGTTGGTGCACGCCATTTGAGTGCCTCTAAACCTGAGTGCGTGCGTGCTTCTGTGTGTGTCTGTGAGTGTTTGTTGTGTGCGTGTGTGTGTTACCTCCCGTGTGTTGCAAGTGTTCGATTAATCTAAACACACACACACCGAACAACAACAGAATTAATCCTTTTGACAACCTGTGCAACTGTCAAAAAAGAAATTTAAAAAACTGCCCGCGCAAAGAAATAATTAAAAAGGAAGTCAAAAGACGAAGCTCTTCTCTGAAGTAAACCCCACGAATAAAGAACAAAAACTGCAAAGACCAAGAAAGAAAACAAAAGAAAAGAAAAGCCTAGAAAGCAAGGAACAGCCAGAAGGAGTGCTTTCCCTTCATTGGTCCGGGTTCCCCCGTACCACCTTTTTTTTCTCCTCATTTTCGGTTTCGGCTTGCTGCCCTCCAGTGCAGCAACAACGAACAGCAAACTAACTCTATATGATGGCCGATCACTTAGACGAACCGCCCCAGAAGCGGGTCAAAATGGATCCAAGTGAGTAGAAAAACCCGTTTGCCCCTTATTTCATCCATAGGTTTTCCTTTGAATGAGGATTCTGACAGGAAAAGCAAAGTACACAGCAAGAATATACTCTTTCCACGAAGACATGAATTTCAATATATAATTTTTAATTAATTTACATTTTTAAAGTAAGAAGTAGGCTTTTGAAAGGAGTTTTTAAAATGGTTTCAAGATTTTCAGGATAAGTAAGCTATTCGTAATTAGATTCTAGATATGAGAGCTAGAAATAAATAGATTTTCAGTGAACCGATTTGATTTTAGAAATTTAGAAACGTAAATAACTTTTTCGATTAAATCGATTTTGAAAAGGTATATCAATGTATCGCATAATTTAAAAAAATCGATTAATTGAGCTTCAAGATCGGAGCCTAAATAATTGGAAAACTTGTATGACGTTACTCGATCATGAAATTACTCACCTTGCACTTTGCTTTTATTTAGAAACCTTATACTTCTAAAACATTCTTGATTTAACCTCAAACCTTACTCTACCCGCAGCGGACATCTCCTACTTTCTGGAGGAGAACCTGCCCGATGAGCTGGTGTCCTCGAACAGCGGCTGGTCGGATCAGCTTACCGGTGGCGGTAACGGCGGAGGAGGCGGCGGCGCCACCGGCGTGCCCACAAACTCCACCTCCGGCCCAAATGCTGGCGGCGGACCCAACAAACCACCAGCACAAGGACCAGGACCGGGCTCAGGACCCGGTGGCGTTAATGTTGGTGTTGGAGTCGGCGGCATGGGCGTCGGTGTTGTTGGCGTCGGTGTCGGCGTTGTGCCTTCCCAAATGAACGGAGCCGGCGGCGGCGGCGGTGGCTCCGGTACAGGCGGTGACGATGGCAGCGGCAATGGCTCCGGAGCGGGCAATGCCGGCAATCAACTCCGTCAGATGCAGCAGCAGCATCACCAGCTGCAGCATCTGCTTCAGCAGCAGGGCCAGAAGGGCGCCATGGTGGTGCCCGGAATGCAGCAGCTCGGCAGCAAGTCCCCCAATCTGCAATCGCCCAACCAGGGCGGCATGCAGCAGGTGGTGGGCACACAGATGGGCTTGGTCAACTCGATGCCCATGTCCATATCGAATAATGGCAACAATGGCATGAATGCCATACCAGGTGAGTCTCCCAAAGCAGAATATGCTTTAACTCGGAACTTTCATTCTCCCATCTATCCCTAATCTCCGCCAGGCATGAACACCATCGCTCAGGGCAATCTGGGCAACATGGTGTTGACCAATAGCGTTGGCAGCGGAATGGGCGGCATGGTCAACCAACTGAAGCAGCAGCAGCCTGGCGGCGGCGGCGGCGGTATGATCAACGCAGTGTCCGTGCCAGGACCGGGTGGACCAGGAACAGGACCCGGCGGCGTAGGAGCAGGCGGCGGTGCAGGCGGCGTGACCCCAAACCAAGGCATGCACATGCAGAACGGTCCGATGATGGGGCGCATGGTTGGCCAGCCGCATATGCTCCGTGGCCCGCATCTAATGGGTGCCGGCGGAGGAGCTGGAGGCCCAGGAAACGGACCAGGAGGTGGAGGGCCACGCATGCAAAATCCCAACATGCAAATGGGTGAGTTTCCTTGCGTTGCCTTCCTCTCAAAGAGAGTCTTGGTATTAATGAAATATCCTAAACTTTCATCTTTTGCCAGGTCAACTCAACAGTCTGCCTTACGGAGTGGGTCAATATGGTGGCCCCGGTGGCGGTAACAATCCCCAGCAACAACAACAACAGCAGCAGCAGCAACTCCTCGCCCAGCAGATGGCCCAAAGAGGCGGCGTTGTGCCAGGAATGCCGCAGGGCAACAGGCCAGTGGGCACAGTAGTGCCTATGTCCACTCTCGGCGGCGATGGATCCGTGCCCACTGGGCAGCTAGTTGGCGGTAATCCTCAGCAGCAACAGATGCTGGCACAGCAGCAGCAGCAGCAGCAGACCGGAGCCATGGGTCCGCGTCCGCCACAGCCAAACCAGCTACTCGGTCATCCTGGCCAGCAACAGCAGCCAGGAACATCTCAGCAGCAGCAACAGCAGCAGGGAGTCGGCGTTAGTGTTGGACTGGGCGGTGCGGGAGTGGTGGCGGGTTCGGGAGCCGGTTCAGGTCCCGGCGTGCCGCCAGTTGCTGGCGGTGGAGCTGGAGGTGCAGGCGTTGCTGGTGGCCCCGGTGGAGGAGCCAATCGTGACGTTCCTGACGATCGCAAGCGCCAGATACAACAGCAGCTAATGCTGTTGCTCCACGCGCACAAGTGCAACCGGCGGGAGAACTTGAATCCGAACCGAGAGGTGTGCAACGTCAACTACTGCAAGGCGATGAAGTCCGTGCTGGCCCACATGGGCACCTGCAAGCAGAGCAAGGACTGCACCATGCAGCACTGCGCCTCCTCACGCCAGATCCTGCTACACTACAAGACCTGCACCAACAGTGCCTGCATCATTTGCTATCCCTTTAGGCAGAATCATTCGGTGTTTCAGAACACCAATGTGCCGCCGGGTGGGGCAGGTGGGAATGCTGGAGCCGCGCCAGGCGCTGGCGGCGGCGGTAGCGGTGGCGCTGCTGGTGGAGCAGGCGGCAATCTACAGCAGCAACAGCAGCAGCAACAGCAACAACAGCAGCAGCAGCCAAATATGGCCGGCCTTGTTGTAGATGGCAAGCAGCAGCAGGTGGCGCCCGGCGGTGGGCAGAATACTGCGATAGTCCTTCCGCAACAACAAGGAGCAGGCGGAACACCGGGCGCTCCAAAGACTCCAGCTGATATGGCCCAGCAGTTGGCCCAACAACAACAACAGCAGCAGCAGCAGCAGCAACAACAGCAGCAGCAACAGCAGCAGGTTCACCAACAGCAGGTCCAGCAGCAGCAGCAGGAACTCCGGCGCTTCGATGGCATGGGCCAGGTGGGATTGTCACCTGTAACCGCCGGTGGAATGCAGCAGCAGCAGCAGGGATTGCCTCCGGGCATCCGCATGCAGGGTGCTCCGCCGGCGGTCAGGGTCCTTGGACCTGGTCCGGGACCCAGTGGACCCAATGTCCTGCCGAACGACGTCAACAGCCTGCAGCAGCAGCAGCAGCAGATGCTTCAGCAGCAGCAACAGCAGGGCCAGAATCGACGACGTGGCGGCCTGCCCAACATGGTGGAGCAACAACAACAACAGCAGCAGCAGCAGCAGCAGCAACCCAATCCCGCCCAGCTGGGTGGCAACATTCCAGCACCACTCTCCGTCAACGTCGGAGGCTTTGGCAATGCCAATTTCGGTGGAGCAGCAGCTGGCGCTGGTGGCGCCGGCGGAGGAGGGCCCAATGATAAGCAGCAGCTGAAGGTGGCCCAGGTCCATCCGCAGAGCCATGTGGTAGGCGGCCCTGGCGGTGCAGCTGGAGCAGCATCAGCAGGTGCTGGCGCGAGTGGCGGCCAGCAGGTGGCTGCCGGTTCCAGTGTCCTAATGCCAGCGGATACCACGGGCAGCGGGAACGCTAGTAATCCCAATCAGAATGCAGGACCGGGAGCTGGCGGCGGTGGCAGTGGTGGTGCCATCGCTGGCGGTGGTGGCGGCGGCGGCGGTGGAGGATCTGGAACTCCCGGCGACAGCGAAAAGGATTGGCGCGACATGGTGACCGCCGATCTGCGCAATCACCTCGTTCATAAACTAGTGCAGGCCATCTTTCCCACCTCGGATCCAACGACCATGCAGGACAAGCGGATGCATAATCTCGTCTCGTATGCGGAAAAGGTCGAGAAGGACATGTACGAGATGGCCAAGTCCAGGTCGGAGTACTATCACCTGCTGGCGGAGAAGATCTATAAGATCCAGAAGGAGCTGGAGGAGAAGCGGCTGAAGCGCAAGGAGCAACACCAGCAGATGCTGATGCAGCAGCAGGGCGTTGCGGGAGCTGGAGGAGCAGCAGCAGCCACTGTTGGTGGTGCGGGTAATGCAGCTGGTGTCGGCGGAGGAGCCGTTGGAGGCGTTATATCCCAGCAGCAGCAACAACAGCCTGGCCAACAGCCCGTCCAGGCCGGCGTCCGTCCCATCATCAGTCCCATGGGCGGTGTTATGCCGCCGCAGCAGTTGCGTCCACAGGGTCCACCTGGAATGGTGGGCCAGCAGTCGGCTGTTGGCATGGGCGTGGGCGTCGGAGTGGGCGTGGGTGTCACCAACAACATGGTGACAATGCGAAGTCACTCGCCCGGCGGCAACATGCTCACCCTGCAGCAACAGCAGCGCATGCAGTTCCCGCAGCAACAGGCCCAGCAACCTCCCGGCTCCGGAGCTGGTAATATGCTGGTGGGTCCGCCCGGACCCAGCCCCGGCGGCATGGTGGTCAATCCGGCGCTATCGCCATATCAGACGACCAATGTCCTCACCAGTCCCGTGCCGGGCCAACAGCAGCAGCAGCAGTTCATCAACGCGAACGGTGGCACGGGAGCCAATCCTCAGCTGACCGAGATGATGAAGCAGCGGCACCTTCACCAGCAACAGCAGCAAGCGGCGCAGCAGCAGCAGGGAATGCTACTGCCGCAGTCGCCCTTCAGTAACGCCACTCCCCTGCAGCAGACACAAGGCGGCAACAGCTTCAGTTCGCCAATGCAACAGCAACCGCAGCAGCAGCAACAGCAGCAGCAGCAGCAACAGAAGCCTGGCAGTGTTATGAACAACATGCCGCCGACGCCCACAAGCCTGGAGGCCTTGAATGCGGGGGCTGGAGCAGCGGGAACGGGAGGATCGGCCTCCAATGTTACGGTTTCAGCTCCTAGCCCTTCGCCCGGCTTCCTCTCCAATGGCCCCTCGATTGGCACCCCCTCCAACAGCAGCAGCAGCAACAACAACAACAGCAACAACAATAATAGCAGCAGTAGTGCCAACAACAACCCGCCCTCAGTGAGCAGCCTAATGCAACAGCCGCTAAGCAATCGGGCGTCCACTCCTCCTTACATACCCGCCTCCCCAGTGCCGGCGACCAGTGCTTCCGGTTTAGCAGCGAGTAGCACGCCCGCATCAGCAGCAGCAGCAGCAGCGGCGGCGGCGGCAGCAGCAGCAGCGACCTGCGCTAGTAGTGCTGGCAGTGGAAGCGGGAACAGTGGACCCTCGGCAGCGGCGGGAGCTACCACAACGACCTCGACATCATCGTCGGCAGGGTCGGGTACACCGCTTAGCTGTGCCTCTTCCTCGGTGTCCACGCCCACGTCAGCTACAATGGCTTCCAGCAGCAGCAGCAGCGGCGGAGGCGGAGGATCCACGACGCCATCTAGCAATCCTCTGCTTATGATGTCGGGCGGAGGAGCGGCAACGACAACCACATCAATGTCTGCCAGCAGCCGTATGATGAGTAGCAGCTCCCAGCTCTCCTCCCAGATGGCCGCTCTAGAGGCAGCGCAAAGGGACGACGATGATACACCCTCGCCCTCCAATGAGAACACCAATGGCAGTGGCGGCAGCGGCAATGCCGGCGGCGGTATGGCCTCCAAGGGCAAACTGGACTCGATCAAGCAGGAGGACGACATCAAGAAGGAGTTCATGGACGATAGCTGTGGCGGCAACAATGACAGCTCCCAAATGGATTGCTCCACCGGTGGCGGCAAGGGCAAGAATGTGAACAACGATGGCACCAGCATGATCAAAATGGAAATCAAGACGGAGGATGGCGGTGACGGTGAGGTCAAGATCAAGACGGAAGCCATGGATGTGGATAAGGCGGGCTCTTCGGCGGGAGGCGCCGGTGGTGATGGGAGCGGCGGTAGCGGTCTTGGTGGCGGCAAGGATAACATCAATGGTGCGCACGATGGTGGAGCGGCCGGCGGTGGTGTGGATATCAAGCCCAAGACGGAAACGAAGCCCCTTGTGCCGGAACCCATTGCTCCGACAGCGGGTGACAAGAAAAAGAAATGCCGTAAGTGGATTTATATCACTTTTTTTTTCTATAACTTACACAATGATTGTACTCCTCCTCCTCCTCAGAATTCAATCCCGAAGAGCTGCGCACAGCTTTGCTGCCGACACTGGAGAAGCTTTACCGACAGGAGCCCGAGTCCGGGCCCTTTCGCTATCCCGTCGATCCGCAGGCCCTGGGCATACCCGATTACTTTGAGATCGTGAAGAAGCCCATGGATCTGGGCACCATACGGACCAATATTCAGAATGGCAAGTACAGTGATCCCTGGGAGTATGTGGACGATGTGTGGCTGATGTTTGACAATGCCTGGCTGTATAATCGCAAGACGTCGCGGGTGTATCGATACTGCACAAAGGTGAGTCTGGAATTCTTATAATTATCCTGGAAAGTTTACTCATTTTCTCTGATTTTCTCGCTAGCTATCCGAGGTCTTTGAGGCGGAGATCGATCCAGTGATGCAGGCCTTGGGCTATTGCTGCGGCAGGAAGTACACCTTCAATCCCCAGGTGCTCTGCTGCTATGGCAAGCAGCTGTGCACGATTCCGCGGGATGCCAAGTACTACAGCTACCAGAACAGGTATGTTTTATTTGATTTTTGTTTTTTTTTTGTTTCATGTGGTTACAAGTGTTACAAGCTGGCAAGAATCCTTGAATTCTTGCTTGTCCTTACGTGTACACTGTTTTTGTACCCGTTTCGGTTTCGTTTCTGTTTCTCTGTTCGATGTGAAATGTAATTTAGCAGATATAATAAGCTTGCTATCCTTTATTTATGTTCCAATTTGGGCGAGAGAGTCCTGTTTCGGTTCTAGTTTCAAGGATGTAAATATAAAGAAGAAAACCGAAGCAGTTTTTCTGAAATGGCTGCCATTCAGCTTCTCAATTGTCCGTTTTGTTTAAGCACTAATTCGATGGCTTGCGATCCTGATTCCCGATCCTCTGATCCCTGCTCGCTCTTTCTCTCTCACTCACTCTCTGTCTCTCTTTGTGTGTTTTCTGTGTGTTTCTGTGTGTTATCCTTAATGTTGCTGTGTACATAGAAGCCTTAATGTTGCACATTGCACAACGTAAATTGAAAAGTATTTAACAAACCGTCACACACACACATACACAATATCCTTGATCCCTAATCCTTAAGCGCTTGATGCTGCATCCACCGATCCATCATGACCATTTAGTATTTGGATTCAGTCCAACCCGATCCCAAGACCAATACCAAGACCAAGTCCAAGTCCGTGTCTAACATTCCACATTTTTCGATTAGCCAGAAAAACAAAACAAAACGAACCCAAAAACGTTAACCGCAAAGAAAAAATGGAAATAGTCCAATCCCTATAGATATATATTATATAAATATATATTTATATACTCGGGTTCTGTTTCAACAGAAATGTACCTGTAAATATAGCTACAAATATGATAATACCGAACTTGGAAACAGATCTCGTCTACAATATTTGTTTCTAAATATCCCAGCTTATATTAATTCATATATTATAAAGGTTTTGTATTTCGAAAAACTTCTATACAAATTTTTAAATGTCAAAAATATGATTTATTTTATTTGGTTTATAAATGAAATAAATGAAAGTTATATATTTCAATCGAATAAACAAATTAAATTAGAGATTCTATTTAATTAAATTAATAATTTACATATAGAAATTTAATTTATCAAAAATATTAATTATTTGTAAATATTTTTGTTAATATATCGATTCGACATGCATTTAACGAAATGAATTAAAGTTAGATACAAATATTTAATTCGAATTTAAATAGTAAACTTATCAAACTTAATGATTATGAAATACTGTTGAGATATTTAGATCAAATATTAATAAATTCTTTACCCTCTTAATTGTTGTATTAATGTGAAACAAAAATTCTAATGCAAATGAAATCACTTTTTGTTTTTCTCTTCCTTCTTTTTTTTTGTGTTGTTGATCTTCGTTTTCTTACTCCTTTCGCCCCGCAACAATAAAAACGAAAAAAACAAACGAAAAAATAATAACAATACAATTATTAATAAATAATAATAATAATACAAATAATAATAAATAACAACAATTATAATTAATAATAATGATTCCCGTTAACCTGTGTCGCCTCATAACTGTATTGCGTGTCTTTATCAAAATATGTATGTGTGTGTGTATCATCTCGCTCTTTCTCTCCTCTCTCTCTCTCTCTCTGTGTCTCCTCTCTATGTGTGTGTGTGTGCGTAAAATGAAAAATTGACAAAAACAAAAACTGTAAAAAAATAACAAAAATAAAAAAAACACCAACAACACACACTCACACAACTGACCATTGCATATAACCATCTCGCTTGCACGCACACCACCTGTACGCCACGACACACACTCAACCAACCATATCTCCCAAAAACACACACACGCCTGGCCTGTGCTCCCTTTTGGCTGCCATCTTCAAATATTGTCCACACATCTCATTTCTGGCCATCAATCTAAAAACGAAAACAAAAATCACAAATCAAAACGCAAAAACCAAACAATTAAATAATTAAAAAAACAAAACAAAAAAAAAAAAACAAAAAACAATCAAAATAATTAAACAAATGAACAACAGTCTAAAGGAATACGGTGTCGCCTCAAATAGATACACCTACTGCCAAAAGTGCTTTAACGACATCCAGGGCGATACGGTCACACTGGGCGATGATCCACTCCAGTCGCAAACGTGAGTAAAAACTTTGATTTATTACTAAATATTATATATAGTGTATTTAAGTATATATAATATACGAAAGAGGAGGATATTTTAATAATACTTGTTGAATTTCTCTTTGGAGAATACGGTTATACTTAAAAAAGTTACAATGCGTGTATGACACTGCATCAGAAAAAATACTTTATTAGAGTTTTTATTAGGATAATATCACCTTTTAGAAAATTTATGAAATTTTCATAAAAGTTTGTCCATAATAATAATGTATGATACTGCATAAAAAAATCTTAATTCATTAGGGCTTTTATTAGGAACATTAATTTATTACTAAATATTATATATAGTGTATTAAAATATATATAATATTCAAAAGAGGAGATTTTGATAATACTTGTTGAATTTCTCTTTGGAGAAGAATGTTATACTTAAAAAATGTACAATGCATTAGAAAAAATACTTTATAACGAGTTTTTATTAGGAAAATATCACCTTTTAAAAAATGTAGAATATTTTGAAAAGAAGCCTTTTTGTGCGTTTCATAAATGTTAGTCCATCAGAATTATATTTAATATTTTACTTATATCAGAGATAATCCCTTACAAAAATCTTAACAAAAATACATATAGGAATAAAGTTAAATAAATAAATAATATTCCAAATAGTTGCAACAGTAAAAGTTTAGAAAATTCTTGAAAAAAAAAACTAGAAAACTTTACTTTTAAAATTAAAAAACATACAAAATTTCCCACTTTTAATTAGACAAAAAATTAGAATGAAACTAAATTTTATAACCCATTCGAAATATATAGCCAAATCAAGAAGGATCAGTTCAAGGAAATGAAGAACGATCACCTGGAACTGGAGCCGTTTGTCGATTGCCAGGAGTGCGGTCGCAAGCAGCACCAGATCTGTGTCCTCTGGCTGGACTCCATTTGGCCCGGCGGCTTCGTTTGCGACAATTGCCTGAAGAAGAAGAACTCGAAGCGAAAGGAGAACAAATTCAATGCCAAGCGTCTGCCCACCACAAAGCTGGGCGTTTACATTGAGACGCGGGTGAATAATTTCCTGAAAAAGAAGGAGGCTGGTGCCGGCGAGGTGCACATTCGTGTGGTCAGTTCCTCGGATAAATGCGTCGAGGTGAAGCCGGGAATGCGGCGGAGGTTCGTTGAATCCGGTGAAATGATGCAGGAGTTCCCTTATCGGGCCAAAGCTCTGTTTGCCTTCGAGGAGGTGGACGGCATCGATGTGTGCTTCTTTGGCATGCATGTCCAGGAATATGGATCCGAGTGCCCCGCCCCAAATACGAGGCGTGTGTATATCGCGTATCTCGACTCGGTGCACTTCTTCCGGCCGCGACAATACCGAACGGCGGTGTATCATGAAATCCTGCTCGGCTACATGGACTACGTGAAGCAGCTAGGCTACACCATGGCCCATATCTGGGCCTGTCCGCCCTCCGAGGGTGATGACTACATCTTCCATTGTCATCCCACGGACCAGAAGATACCAAAGCCCAAGCGCCTGCAGGAATGGTACAAGAAAATGCTCGATAAGGGCATGATTGAACGGATCATACAGGACTACAAGGATATACTGAAGCAGGCCATGGAGGACAAGCTGGGCTCTGCCGCCGAACTGCCCTACTTTGAGGGCGATTTCTGGCCCAATGTGCTCGAGGAGAGCATCAAGGAGCTGGACCAGGAGGAGGAGGAGAAGCGCAAGCAGGCCGAGGCCGCCGAGGCAGCAGCAGCGGCGAATGTAAGTGTTGGTGTCACTCAAGCAACCTGACTTTAGCTTTACTTGGAATTAATCTCTTGCCTTTATTCCACATTCGCAGCTCTTCTCCATCGAGGACAACGAGGTGAGCGGCGATGGCAAGAAGAAGGGACAGAAAAAGGCCAAGAAGTCCAACAAATCGAAGGCGGCACAGCGAAAGAATAGCAAAAAGTCCAATGAGCATCAGTCGGGCAACGATCTCTCGGCCAAGATCTATGCCACCATGGAGAAGCACAAGGAGGTCTTCTTTGTTATCCGTCTCCACTCGGCCCAGTCGGCAGCGAGTCTAGCGGTGAGTCTAGCTCTACTTTGATTTTCTTATAGGATTTAAAATTAATACAAATTGAATTTTCTAATCCCATTCATAACACAGCCCATCCAAGATCCCGATCCACTGCTCACCTGCGACCTGATGGACGGACGCGATGCCTTCCTTACCCTTGCCCGCGACAAGCACTTTGAGTTCTCGTCGCTGCGGCGGGCCCAGTTCTCCACGCTGTCCATGTTGTATGAGCTGCATAACCAGGGCCAGGACAAATTTGTTTACACCTGCAACAATTGCAAGACTGCGGTGGAAACGCGGTACCATTGCACCGTCTGTGATGTGAGTATTGTCTAGTTATTTCAGGAATATAAGAAATAAGAAAATTGAATGAGAAAATCTGGAAAGTACTGGCAAAGATGATCAAGATAATTAATGTATCTCATGATTGTTTTATGTAAAATTTCTAAGAGCTATAAATGTTATTTGCTTATAGTTATTTTTTTGTTTGCATGAGTTTAAAACAAGACAGAAAAATGGGTCTTCTGAATGATAAATGGATAAGGGATAAAGGATAAATGTGCTGAAGTTCAATGGGTTTCAATTTCAATAGATTATTTGGAAAGGATGTGCAAAGCTCTGGAGCAGAAAGAATTAATCAAAAATATATGATTGAAGCTGCGATTTATTCAAGATTTTGAAGCGAAATTTAGAAGGCTTATCTTACATTTGAATCTGATCAATAAAATATAGTTCACTGTATAATATTATCATAATTTTCTTACGCTCCACAGGACTTTGATCTATGCATCGTTTGCAAGGAGAAGGTTGGTCATCCGCATAGAATGGAAAAGCTCGGCTTTGATATCGATGACGGTTCGGCGCCGGCAGATCACAAGCAGGCCAATCCGCAGGAAGCCCGCAAACAGTCCATCCAGCGTTGCATCCAGTCCCTGGTGCATGCATGCCAGTGTCGCGACGCCAATTGCCGCCTGCCGTCCTGCCAGAAGATGAAGCGCGTTGTCCAGCACACGAAGAACTGCAAGCGAAAGACGAACGGCGGTTGCCCCATTTGCAAGCAGCTCATCGCGCTCTGCTGCTACCACGCCAAGCACTGTCAGGAGCAGAAGTGTCCCGTGCCCTTCTGTCCCAACATCAAGCACAAGCTCAAGCAGCAGCAGCTCCAGCAGAAGTGAGTTTTTTTTTTGTATATTTTTGTTTGTTCATGTTTGTGCTTGTTGTTATTTGTTTCAACGTGTAACTCTACTTTATCAAGCTATTCATTACAGAGTCTACTCTGACTCGCATATTATATTTTTGGTATTTGTAAAATCTCTAAACAAGGGCAAGGTAAAGTTTGTAAATTTATTTTATTATCAAGGCCTAATATTTTGGTCAAAATTAATGAAGTTATTAAAACTTAAATTAAACTCAAATATTATTTAAAAAAAAACGTAAAACGTTTACCTGTAATGTGAAAAAATTGATTAGTTGCCTATCACTGCTAAAACGAATGCCTAATACATATTTTAAAATGTATTACTAAATATTTACTTGTAATTTTATTTGAATACATATTTTAAAATGTATTACTAAATATTTTCTTGTAATTTTATTTAAATACTGCATTATCTTGACTTTCAATACAAAAGAAAAATGGTTTGTTTATGTTTTAAACTTTAATTTTTATAATCAAAAGAAATTCCATTTTGCTGAAATTCAAATTGCACTAATTTACTGTGCAAGTATAAATAAAAAGTACCGTTCTTTACTTATTTAAGCATCTATTCTTAACTGCTAAAAAATATTTAAACGTGGAAAGATCTTTTATTATTTTTGGAATTTTGAATAATTAATAAAGGCCTCACTTTTGGGTCCTAGAGGGTTAATGTTTTAGTCAAAAATCGGGGTTTAAACTTGCAGTTTTGGTACAAATCTAGAAACAAATTAAAATATTTAACATTTTTTAATAATTTACTTTAATTACACTTGGGAGATTCCCTATAACCCCTAAATCGGTTAATTTATATATTTTTTTTTAATATAATTTCAATAATTAAAAATCTAAAAAAATGTTTAATTTAATTTTAAAAATTTTAAATTTAATTAAAAAATTTAAAAATTTAATTTAAAAAATGTAAAATTTAATTTAAAAAATTTAAATAATCTAATTTAAAAAATTTATTAATTATTATTTAAAAATTTAAAAAATTTAAAAATTTAAAAAATTTTAAAGAAATTGAAAAATAAATCAAATTTGAAAATTAAAAAATATATATAAAATTAAAAAAAAATTTTCATTAACAAAAAAATTATAAAATTAAAAAAAAAAATTAAATTTAAAAATTTTTTAATTTTAAATGTAGCATTCGACATTATAGAAATCTTATAGAAATCCACTGCTAATTCATCTTACCTAATGCCATTTCAACCCTCTTTCATTTTCAGACTCCAACAGCAACAGTTACTGCGCCGTCGCGTGGCTCTCATGTCCCGGACAGCGGCTCCGGCGGCATTACCCGGCCCGGCTGCTGTCAGCGGCCCAGCGGTGGTCTCCGGCGGAGTGCCCGTCGTGGGCATGTCAGGCGTGGCAGTTAGCCAGCAGGTAATGCCCGGCCAGGCGGCGGGTATAATGACCCCAGGAGCCGGCGGTATGTCACCCTCCACCGTCACAGTGCCCTCACCGGTTTCGGGCGGTGCAGGTGGTGGTGGTGCCGGTGGCATGGGCGGAATGACATCGCCCCATCCGCATCAAGCTGGCATTGGCATGAAGCCTGGCGGTGGCCACTCGCCGTCACCGAATGTCCTGCAAGTGGTGAAACAAGTCCAGGAGGAAGCGGCCCGACAGCAGGTCTCCCATGGCGGTGGCTTCGGCAAAGGTGGCCCAATGGCGCCGCCCGTAATGAATCGCCAGATGGGAGGTCCTGGCCCCAATCCCAATGTGAATCAACTGGGTGGCATGGGCGTCGGCGTTGGCGGTGTCGGTGTTGGAGGCGTTGGTGTTGGCGGCGTCGGTGTTGGAGGCGTTGGCGGTGTTGGTGTCGGCCAGCTGGGTCCCGGCGGCGTTGGCGGTGGCAATCCTGCAGGAGGACCAGGCGGTCCAGGTGGAGTTCCTGGCGCCGGCAACTGTGGTAATGTCCTGAATGCCAACAACCTGCTATCCATGGATCAGTGGGGCGGTGGCGGAGCCGGAGGTGGCAATCCAGGCGGAGGTAATCCCCAGGCACGCTATGCGAACAATGCCACGGGAATGCGACAGCCCGGCCAACTGATGCAGCCGAATCTGTTGCAGCAGCAACAGCAACAACAGCAGCAACAGCAGCAGCAGCAGCAGCAGCAGATGATGGGTCTGGGAGGACCCAATCAGCTCGGCGGTGGCCAAATGCCCGTTGGTGGCCAGCACGGAGGCATGGGCATGGGCATGGGTGCACCATCGATGGCCGGCGCCGCTGGCGGAGTACGACCGCCGCCCGGAGCCGGAGGAGGCGGTGGCGGCCAAACCGGCGGACTGAATACCCAGCAACTGGCCCAGATCATGCAGAAGATCAAGAACAACCCCACCAACGAAAGCAACCAGCACATCCTCACCATACTCAAGCAGAATCCGCAGATAATGGCGGCGATCATCAAGCAGCGCCAGCAGAGCCACCAATCACAGATCAATGCAGCGGCGGCGGGCGGAGGAGCGCCTGGTCCCGGCGGTGGTGGAGCTCTGGCGCAGCAGCAACAGGCGGGCAATGGACCCCAGAACCCGCAGCAGCAGCAGCAGCAGCAACAACAGGTGATGCAGCAGCAGCAACAGCAGATGCAGCACATGATGAACCAGCAGGGCAGCGGTGGTCCCCAGCAAATGAATCCCAACCAGCAGCAGCAGGTGAATCTGATGCAGCAACAGCAGCAGCAGGGCGGACCGGGAGGGCCGGGTCCTGGACCCCACCAAAGGATGCCGAACATGCAGAATGCCATGATGCTGCAGAGCCTGCCGCCCAACATGTCGCCCGGGGTCACCACCCAGGGAGGAATGGTAAGTGAAAGCAAGAAGCTATAAATTTCCTTTAATCCTTAAATGCTCCATCCATCTCCCCTTGCAGGTGCCCAACCAGAGTTGGAACAAGATGCGCTACATGCAGATGAACCAATACCCGCCACCGTATCCACAACGCCAGCGCGGTCCGCACATGGGCGGCGCGGGACCCGGTCCTGGCCAGCAACAATTCCCCGGCGGTGGCGGCGGTGCGGGTAACTTCAATGCTGGTGGAGCCGGCGGCACTGGAGGCGGCGTTGTCGGTGTGCCTGGAGGAGCTGCCGGTCCCGTCGTCGGTGGCGACCAGTACTCGATGGCCAATGCAGCAGCGGCAGCGGCTGCCTCCAATATGCTCCAGCAGCAGCAGGGCGTTGGTGTGGGCGTTAAGCCCGGTCCCGGCCAGCAGCAACAGCAGATGGGCGTGGGCCTGCCACCGGGTATGCAGCAGCAGCAGCAGCAACAACAGCAGCAACAGCAACAGCAGCCTCTGCAGCAGCAGCAACAGCAGATGATACAGGTGACAATGCCGAATACCAATGTCCAGAACCCATCGGCGGTGGTGGGCGGCCCCAATGCTCAGGTAATGGGGCCGCCTACGCCGCATTCCGCACTTCAGCAGCAAATGATGCAGTCGGCTCGCGCCTCGCCGCCCATCCGTTCGCCGCAGCCAACGCCGTCGCCCCGCTCAGCACCATCGCCCCGGGCAGCTCCATCCGCTTCGCCACGGGCGCAGCCCTCGCCGCATCATGTGATGAGCAGTCATTCGCCGGCGCCGCAAGGACCGCCGCATGATGGCATGCATAACCATGGACTGCATCATCAGTCGCCGTTGCCGGGAGTGCCGCAGGATGTGGGCGTTGGCGTTGGTGTTGGTGTGGGCGTCAATGTGGGCAATGCCGGCGGTGCCCTGCCTGATGCCTCCGATCAGCTGACCAAGTTTGTGGAGAGGCTTTAGTGCAGCAGCAGCAGCGGCAGCGGCAGCAGCTACAACGGGTGGTAGCCCCCAAACCAGACCAGACCAGCAGGGATCACCAGTGTGTGTGTGTTGAACGATTGCGACTAACTCTACGCTATGATTGTATATTATTTGATTTTGAACTATCACAACTAATGTGTAACGTAGTGCTAAGATTAAAACCCAACCCCTCCCCCATTTACCCTTTTTACCCCGCGTTAGAGTTAAGTTTAGGACAGCAGCAGCAGCAATCATCATTATCATTATCATTATCATTATTTGGTTTCCATTTACAAAACCGACGCGAAAATTAGCCAATATATTTACGAATGCAATATATTTCTTCTGTCTAAAATCACACACACACACCTTTTCCTCCCATGTATTAGTTAATTAATCCCAAATCCCAAGTTTTTTCCAATTTTGAGGGAAGAGAGGGAGTTGGGGATGACGTTAGGGGGACGTTTAACGTCGAACCTTTCCTACAATTATGTCGAAATATATATACAAATTAGTTGGGAATTAATTTAGAAAGTGCACAGAAAATAATGAACAGAATCTATATGTTTTTTCCCGAGAGAGCGTGTGTGTTGTAAAGTTGATCCAAGTTTTTTGTACCCTTGTAGAGTTTTAAGACAGACTTCCACCCCCCCGCCCTGCCCTTCAAATCCGCACAAGAATATATATATACATTTATAGCCTATTTAAAGTAACGAAAGCAAAATGTGTGTGAGATTAAGCAAAAGTGCTCCTTATAGGAGCTTCAAATTGGGAACACATAACAATTACATATTTTTATACACAAAGCAAAGAAAGGAGATCACTTCCAATTTGACAGGCAAACAATAAAAGCGAGAGAGGGAGAGAGTTGGGAGTCAGGATCAGAATAGCATTAGGAGGAGTATCAGAAATCAGGACACCAAAACAGAAGGAGCGTTACAAAGGGATTATGATTAACAAGAGCAACCAATAGCAATAGCCAAAATGCTTTGAATACAGTTTTAGGGTACATGAAAATATTTAAGAGCGATTTAACATTTACAACATATATATATATTCATGTATGTATATACATGCATACGTAGGACAACAAATTAGACTTGTAATTCTAACAAATTGTAAATTTTTAAATTGAATTCAAAGCGGAAGACTCACTTTGGGAGGTAAAAACACACAAAATATTGCGTCATTCCTTAAACCGAAAAAGTTGCTTGCAAGCACCCCAAAAAATGGGAGTTTATTGAGTCAATTGATTATGTTAACCCATTTAATGTCAATGTGTTGTCTGAGGGAATATTTGTTGAGTCCGTTTATTATGTTAAAATCTGTAATTGTCAAATGTGTCTGTATTGTATTGTCGTAAGTTGAAAATTGTATGTTCTTATTTGTGTAACAGTGCAACATTAATTATAGAGACTTGTATAAGTTATATACATTTATTTTTCAAATTTCATTTGTCACAAATTTATTGACTTTCAACATTTTCGTTCTTTTAATTGTTTTCGGACATCAAAATCAAAGAAAGCATCTAATTTGAAATATTTTGAAAAATGTAAAGCTACAATCGTGACAGGCTTTTCCCTTTGAGGATCAAAAATGAAGCTAAACCTACCTAAATTGTAAATTTCTTAAAGCAAGCGGAAAACATTTGCAGTTATAATTCCCAACTTTGTCTAGCCAAACTTTAAGGTTTTTTAAGGCCCATGAAACCAATAACTCATATACTAAATAATACAATTTAAATTCTTTGAAAACTCGACAGAAAGTTATGCCCTGACAAAACAGAAAAAGCTAACATCATTTTCGGCAAGTGTGTGTTTTGTTGTTATATTTCTGTGTACAATTTGTTTTTTTAAACCCTCGATACATTTTTTTAAGGCCTCCTGAATGAGTCTCTCCCTTCAAAGCATTAATTGGATTTACACTTTTATTTTTTTTTCGTGTACATAACTTAATGTTATACTTAGTATTTGATTTTGTGATAGCCAAAAGAAAGGAGGAAAGGAAGGATTAGGATGATGATGAGCAGCAGCAGTACCCAAAACCCAATTTGTCTCAAAAAGCCGCAAGTTTGAAGGATCATTTTTTGGTAAATGAAATAAGGGAATAAGAGTTCCAAGATCGCGAATGCTATTTATTAATGCTAACAAAAAAAAAAAAAAAAAAACAACCACCTAGGATAACGATTTAGGTTTACCGCTATTTATTAGACATAGTCTGTAGCTTTCAACTGGGTTCTTTAATTAATCAGATCGGATATTACGTCTATATAAACATATATATGATTTTCTTCTACATATAATTGTTCGGATTTAAGTGAGTAGAATGAGATGGATTGCTTTCGTTTTCTAACTGTTTTCTTTGTACAAGTTGCCGCCGCCCAAGAATCAGACAGGGACAGAGAGAGTCAGCGAGAGAGCGAGAGAGGAGACAAACAAGAGAGGGAATTTTGTAAATTTTAAATACTAGGATACTTATTCACTGCGCATAAAAATGCCTTCAATTGCGACATCAAGCAAGTAACTAACTTTAATTGTAAATACCCCACACACACAACATAAAGATACACACGATATACATATATATACATATATATATATATATATATAAATACATATATTACTGATTAGCAAAGTAGAGTTTGTAAAATCCAATGCCCTAGCTTTTAAGTCGTATATATCGGTTATATCGTATATATATATATAGATCTACTCTCCTTACACACCCACACACACACACACATGCGCATAGGTTATCGCGATATATATATACATATATACTTTTAGTTAGTGTGTTTTTAATCGAAACGCGCATAGTTTCCTTAGCTAAGCGAAAGACAACAAGAAAAAAAGAAAAATTGGAAAACCAAAATAAAAAAAAAAAAAAAAAAAACAGCTGCGCCTGCCACCGATTAAAAAGAAATTAAGGATTAAAGGATGCAAAACCCACGCTGCGCTGCACACAATCAAAACAGACACCAAATAACAAAACAAAACAAAAAAAAAAAACTAAAAATAATTCAAGTTAAATTAAAAAAGTAAAATTTAAAAATATTATATTATATAGAATCGTGTGAAAACCAAACATACTCAAGTCACTGGGCTCTGCCGCCGAATGCCTTTGTACTTTTAACGTATGTTAAACAATGAGAATCGGTATCGTTTATCGAGCGGCAGTTGATTATCGGAATCTATCTGCCATCGGTAATCGATATAGTTGCGATAACATGACGCTGCCTTCAAATCGCAGACGCCGCGTGCTGGTAGCAAAAAAAAAAAGGATTAAAATAAAACAAAACTAAAAAAAAAACATATAATCGGTAAATCGAAATAGCGGGCGCAGCAAACCCCACGATAGTAACCAAAAAAAAAAAGAAGAGAGAAAAAGAAAGAACGAGGACGAGGAGAATGAGAAAAAGGACGCTTCTAAACGTATTTTTTCTCCACATTGTTTTTGTTGTTTTTTTTTTTTTAACCACAGTCAGGCAATGAACAAAGTTATGAGTGTGAACGAGAGAGAGAGAGAGAGAGAAAGGAGAAAGCGCGAGAGTGTGAGTGAAAGCGAATCAAGGATCATTCTGTTCATAGCGAGCAAGCGAGAGAAAGAGAGAGCATATTCCAAAACTATTTGTGATTACAATTATATATGATGAAAGAGTGTGGAAAGAAGTAAACCAGAAAACATAGAAGCAACACAAAGCGCATTAAACGTAAAGCGGGAATAAGATGATAACTAGAGCGTAAGCCTTAGACTAAAGCCAGTGCGTATATACACATTTATATACATAGGTACGATCGATCACACACACGCGTTTAGGATACACAAACACACATACACACGTATATATACATATATATATACTAAATATAATACATGAAGGATCTTAGTTAAGCGAACAATTGTAAATTATATATATGAACATTTATTCTAAATGCAGTAGCAGCGGAAAAAAACGTTAACCGAAACATGAAATCGATGAGAGGATAATTATAGGAGAGCACTTTGCTAAGCGGCGTTTATTATTATGCATACAAAATGTAATTTCTTATAACAAAACAAAAAAAAAAACAGAAAATCTAAAAAAAAAACGTATGATGGAGACTCCACAAAACGAAGAGAGCAAAGGAGAAGAGCAGAAGAAGGAGGAGGAGAAGGTGGTATGCCTAGATAAGTCAAGTGTAAAGTAAACCAAGCCTTAGTAAAAAACTAGTTCTAACTCAACAACAACAACCACAACAAAAACAAAAACAAAGTAAAACAAAAACAAAAAACAAACGAAATGAAAATAAAAGAAAAAACGATTGATACTAATAACTAATATTAACAATGAGTACGATAATGTTTATGCTAATGATTACGATAACGATAATTGATAAAAGAATTGAGAAAACCGTTACGACATAATACCTACTTGTAAAATAGTGCGACAGTTAAGCTGATAAGATGACTTTTGACTTTTCTATCAGATTTCATTAATTTAATTGTACACACCCACACCCACCCACCCCACACACCACCACACTCCCCCCCAAACCACACACACATAAGCATGCACATTCATTAATGAGTGTATGATTAAACATAAATATATAAATATATTTTTTTTACTATTATTACGATGATTATTATTAATATTATTATTGTTTCTACCAATCTCTATCTCCTACTATATTTTCTATCCCTTTTTTTTTGTCGTATTGATCCAAAATCACAGCGAACCAAGCGAAACAAAACAAAGCAAACAAAATAAAAGAGAAACCAACACTGTAATTAACTAAATACTTTTGCTTGAAAGTGTAAAATAAATTAATTTAAATAAAAATTATGAAATTAAAACGAAGCCTAGTTGTGGTTATTATTTGTGGGTGGGCTTAAAGTTAAAACTTCAAAAAGAAAGTGACTGAAAACCACTTAGAATCGACTTGGATTAAAAAGGATAATTTCCTGGGAATTCTTGTTGGATAATCTATCCATTTTCGGCATGATTTTTATATTTGGATTTTGTATTGGTATTAATATTAATTAATATTAATGCTTAAAATTGAGTAATATAAAAATCAAGGATAATATTTTTTTTAATCAAAATTATTAAAATCAGCACATAATTATTATTTTTTAACAAAAAAAAAAAGAAAAATAAAATAACTATATTTTATTTTTATTTTTTTAATCAAAAATGATATTTTTTAATTTATATTCTTTTCACTGTGTTAATTTTAATTATTTTGATCAGAAATAATTATTATCATTATTTTTTATTTATATATTTTTAATAAAACAATCATTTTTCTGCTGATTTTAAATATTTTGATTAAAAATAATTATCATTATTATTATTATTATTTTAATTGATTTAAAAAACCCTAAATCAGACCTATTTTAATATTATTTCATAATATTAATAATCTTTTATTTTCAACACAAAGCTTTTGGTGCCGGGTATCTCATAGTCGGCAATCCTCCAACAAAAAAAGCTTTCTGAATTTTTTTTTTTAGATTTTGGTACCTTATCTTTTCCCCTGCATTTCAGGTAATCAAAGATTAGTCAAGATGACATAATCACTGGCCTAATCGAAAGAACAGCAACCAATTTGGGTCGATTAACGAGCATTCCATGTTTAAATTTAAATACAAGTCGAAAGCGAAACGCAGTTAGCCAAAAGATTAGGGAAAAACAGGTGTTTTTCAAAAGCCAGAGCCCTTGAATCGAAATCGTGGCAAGTCTGGGGAATCGGGAGCAATATGAATCACATTTCCCCAGTTGGATTTATGGCCCTTCACTTTCCCTGTGCAATATCGCCAGGCGGAAGTCGGGAGAACTACGGCTGTTTGGGTGCAAAGTTCGTAGCTGTACGTACAAAAGCGTTTTCCTGCTGGGAATTATCCGTTACTATCAACCCGTGCCATCGTCCCATGGAACAACTATAAATAATGTGTCGAAAACATTTTCAAGTGCCCTCCAATTGACGTTCTTCGATCGCCTGGATTCGAAACGAATCCGATCCCCCGATAGCCCCCACGCTCCGTGTGGAATATGGATGGGCACACACACACCAAAAGACCTTCAGCGGGGGGTCATAAAGTCCAACTGGGAGGTAAGCCTGTGGCGATGAGGAGGCGGTGAAATCATCAGGAGATCAAATGGTAGATAGGAACCAAAGAAAATATTCGAGAGATCATTTTCGAAGGTGATGTATATCTATTTCAATAGGTTTCCAAGGGAACTATCTCGAATTTGGATGGTATAAAGAAGACGTAGGATTTCAGGATCATTTTATTTAAAGTAAGTTAAATTTTTAACTCAACAAGTAATCTGTGTGATTCATTCAACCCACCTAAACCCAAGTTAATCTCAACTTTACCTCCCAAAAGTTGTGCTTTTCAACCAACTTTATCACTTAATTTATGGATTCTGCTGAGATTCTTTGAGAATGGAAAAGTTTCCTATTGCCTGAATGAGAGTGTCCAGTAACTGGTGGGTATTATAATCTGTAATCGATAGATAAGATTGGTTTGTTGAGCTGGCCAAGTCATGGGTGCTTTAACGATCTGTTCCCACGCCATAGACAAATTTCTTTGATATTATACCCTATCCCTGATATTATACCCTATCGTTGGCGCTACGCGCACTTCATTTTGAAGTGAGTGTCATCCAAAGTGAATGCCACAACGACGACTCGATCTCAATAGACACCGGCAAGTGGCCTCTCTCTTGGATCGGAGATACCGCCGCCTCGCCTCGATTGCCTAATACTTATAATAAATGAAATGAATGTCTGATTGCGCGAGTTGGGCCTTTGTTTACCTCCTTGAAGCGGCTTTTTGGTGGCTTCTAAAAGATTATTTAAATTCTGGGAAAGTCTCTTTTTTTTTGGGTGGGTTATTATGGTTATTTTAATAACAAAACCTTTTTGAAAACAGAACTTTTATAATTTAATATGGTATACTTGTATCTGAATTCATGGTATCATATTGCTAAGCTCTTTCTTAGTTTAGTCTCAAATTATTTTAATTTTTAAATATAATTTAGGCAGAAGTTTGGCCATATATGTTACCAAAATTGTCTTTTATTAATAGCCATCATATTATCCACCATCACGTGATTACCTTAGATCTATAAAAAGGTATTATTATATATTTCATTTCCAGGTTTATCTTTTCCTATTATAATATATTCATTTCTCAGGCTTATCTTTCCCAAAAAAAGCCAATCATTTAAAGTTAAAATCGTTAACTATTTTCAGAAGAACCTTCCTTGAATTGACCTTGACTTTCTTATATCGTTGGCCAACCAAAATTATCCGATAATTGTCTGTTCAGGCGGGCAGCTCTTGGGTGCAAAGTCCCGAAAGACGGGTAATTTAATTAAACCAAATCTATTTGATGGATCGTCTTTATTTTTTAGGTATTCCTCTATTGCCTGACAATCTTACTGTGATTACTATTTTGGCCCGGTGTGACATGGGATTTATGAACTCCACCAGAGTCCGCACGACCACGCAAATCCACTGAATCCAGTGAACGAGGTAGGGGAAGGGGAAAGGGGGGCTTCGGCCAGATAAGACACATCGACCGGGAGCGATAAAGTGGCCAATGCAAGCCAATTGATTAGCGAACCTCTTACCCTCTTGCCCCTTATCGGAGACTCCAAGACCAGTAGCTGCTCCATGCCCAGGCAATATATTTATAGACACCAGGGGCGGCCGGTGCTTGGTCATCGCGTTGCTACTCAAGTGCCTAATACTCCAATCTGACGATCAGCAGGCTATAAAAGCTGAAATGCCCCCACCCACTTAGCCTATAAAAGGCATCGATCTATCCGAACGCCCACTTAGTTTCATTACCTCGCCCTCGGTGGCCGCGCCGCGAGTCCGTTTAGCTGTTTTCTAGCCGAGATCCATCCAATTGTTGTTGGATCATGAAGGGTCCGCTCGGTGTCCTTGCAGCCGCGCTGCTGATCGCGGCCGTTGGCGCCCATGATCTCCTCTCTGGCTACTCTAATCCCATGCAGGATAGCATGGCCCATCAGTTCTACCATCTGGCCTCCCAGCAGCTGACCACCGATGCCCAGAATCAGACCCAGTTGGCACTCAGCCATGATAGTCGCGCCGATGAGGAGGACGATGCCCAGTGCCTTCAGGATATCAATCGGATTCGAGATGCCATCGACAACAGGGAGGAGTGGGCTCTGGAATGTAAGTATTTACTTGAGATAACTCCGATCGCTATAGTGATCGATCAGTGAGCGATTAATGATTGTTGATCGGTGATTGTTTAAAAAAATTAGGGTATTTATAAAGGATAATATTTAAATATCTATATTGTATTAATATTTCAAGTTAAGATCGATTGATTATATATAAATTTACTTCACATATAAATTTAGTTCATATATGATTTTAGTTCACATACGATTTTAGTTCATATATAAATTAAGTTCACATATAAATTTAGTTCATATATGAATTTGGTTTATATATGAATTTAGTTCATATATTAATTTAGTTCATATATGAATTTAGTTCGTATGTATACGAATTTAGTTCATATATGAATTTAGTTCACACATGAATTTAGTTTATGTATTAATTTAGTTAATATATTAATTTAGATCATATTTGAATTTAGATCACATATAAATTTAGTTCATACATTAATTTAGTTCATATATGAATCTAGTTCATATAAGAATTTAGTTCATATATGAATTTAGTACATATCTGAACTAAATTATTAAATATAAAATGATATCCTTTTGATATCCTATGGTTCGAATTTTAATACCTTACACTTGTTCCTCATTAATGCCGCCTTGCCACTTGACATCCCTGGGCTTAACCATTACCCACAATCTTTATGGCCAATTGGCAATTCATAAATCCAATTTAGCCATGATTTTTGGGCTGGATTTTTAGCGATTAGATCGACATTGATAGCTTGCTTTGCATGCGGATTTCAAGTGAATTTGAAGTGAATTTTAATCAAGGTCGATTTAATACAATTGAGAAACCCCCGACTGATAGGAGGAAAGATGAAATTGAAGCATGATTTATGCTTCAAGATAACACTAGGTTTATTATGGGTTTACTATGGCCTGATCCGTTTGATTGGGATTGCAAAGGCCTCATTCATAATTGATGGACTTACAAATTGATTCATAAATACAGCAGCGAGTGCAGTGTGATTTATGGCTATTGTAAATAAAATTTTTGTCGAGAACCACCATAACCCTAGGTGACCATTGATACGTTCCTAATCCATAACCCTATCTTTCTTGGGTTCGTATCAGGGCTTATCGCCCATGCAGGTGCAGAATATATACTATATTTGGAAGCTATAAAGTTTTAGTTTTGACATAAATTCTATTGGATGACTTATCCAAACTTGGTTTGAAATTTCAGTTCCCGACACTTGGGGCCGCCTGCCCATGGGTCTCTTCTGGGGCCACACCATCAGCATGGGCCAGTACGAGGAGTGTGTGGCTGCCACCAGCACCTACGGCACTGAGATTCGTGGCCAGTACTGCCTGACCAGCCTGAATATCACCGAGTACTACTCCAGCGTAAAGAAGCGCGGCGAGGAGTTCAATCGAATTAGCTACAAGCAAACGGATCCCCAGGTCTTTGAGCTGGGCATTTGTGTACCAACGACCTGCAGTGCCAAGAAAACCGATGAGCTGTTGAAATATGTCATTGCCAAAATCTATGGAAAGGATACGATCAATCTGGATGATACCATGGTGACGGAAAAGCGTTGCAAGTACGATGCGCCCATCCAGCTAAGGGGTATTGATATTTTTGCCATGTGAGTATATCAGTTTACCAGTATAATTTTAATATTTTTACAAATTTTTTTTATTATATAAACAGCGTCTTCTTCAGTCTGATTATATTCTTCATGGTGGCGGCCAGTGTCTACGATTATATACAGACCCGCAAGGGAGGTAAGTTTGATAAAGATCCCCACTTCAATCTTCCTAGATTATCACCTCCCCTCCCCCCTTTGATTAGCTCCCAAGAAACCCCTTTTGGTGGCCTTCTCTGTGCTCACGAATGCCCCCAAGATCTTTACGGTGAAGAAGGTGAATAATCCCAATGTTATCCACTGCCTGAATGGTCTGCGCTGCTTCAGCATGATGTGGGTGGTCTTTGGCCATGGCTACATGACCTTCTATGATCTGCCGCACATCAACAAGAACAAGTTCTATACTTGGGTCCAGACCCCCTACTCGATGCTTGTCCAGAATGGTTCTCTCTGCGTGGACACCTTCTTCTTCATGTCCGGCCTGCTGATGTGCTGGGGTGCCTTCCGTGAAATGGAGCGGACGAAGGGCAAACTGAATATACCCATGATGTACTTCCATCGCTACATTCGCCTCACTCCGGTGGTGGCTGTGGTGGTTTTGTACACTCTCACCTTGTACAAGTATTCGGGCGCAGGACCCATGTGGTTCAAGCTGGGCACTCAGGATCAGCGTTGCGAGGAGAACTGGTGGGCCACGTTGCTCTATGTTCAGAACTATGCCGTTCCCTACAGAATTGTAAGTTGGATTTGTGGTTAACTCTTTCATAACAATTTTTATTTGAATGTTTCCTCCTCTATTACCCAGTGCATCACCCAATCCTGGTACTTGGCTGTGGACACACAACTGTACTTCCTGTCGCCCCTGTTCCTTATACCCCTGTGGAAGTGGGGCAAGAAGGCTTTGGTGCCCATCATCATCTTTTTGATTCTTTGCCTTGGCGGCACCTTTGCCACCTTTATGATCTACGATTTCACGTTGTTCCGCGTCCAGGACGATCGTGTTGATCTGCGCCAGCGCATGACCTACTATCCCACGCACACCCGTATACCCACCTGGCTGATTGGCGTGATCTTCGGCTATTTCCTGTTCACCCGGAACCGTGGACGCCAGATCCCCATGTCCAAGCCATTGGTTTTGACTGGTTGGTTCGTGGCCTTTGGTACCATGATGGCCTGCATGTGGGGTCCCTATTGGCGCATCCTGCCGGACACCCCAGACTCGCCGCTGATCGAGGGCGCCTTCTTTGAGCCGCTGAGCAGGACTGGCTGGGCTCTGGCCATTGGCTGGATCGTTTGGGCCTGCTACAATGGGCATGGTGGATTGGTGAACGACTTCCTTTCCTGGGGCTTCTTCACCGGCTTCAGCCGGCTCACCTACTGCATGTACGTGATCCATCGCATTGTCCAGCTGGTGAATGCCGCCCGTCTGCAGACGGACACCCACTTCTCCAACTATGATGCGGTAAGTGGAGCAAATCAAAGTTCTTATTTGTTTTTTAATTAAATATAATATAATAATAAATTACAGATCCTTCGCTGGTGGCACGACTTTGGCATTACCCTGACTGCCTCCATTTTCGCCACTTTGGCCTTTGAGGCCCCCATTCTGGGCATTGAGAAGGCCATTTTCGGCAGGGGTTCGCCCAAGCCGGCACCCAAAAAACCCACTCCCGGTGAGCTGGCCAGGACTGCCCCGGAGGCAGCGTCTCCTACTGCTGCTGCTGTTGCTTCAACTCCTGAACCCGAAACCAAATTAGCGGAGGCCGTGGAGACCAAGGCGGAAATCACTCCTGAGCCCAGCAGCGTTGAGAATCCCTCCAAGGCCTAAGCTTGCTTTGAGACGAATTTTTTGTTCCCCCATGCGAACCGTTTTTTTTTTGTGTGTAGTTAGTTTTATTTATTAAAGTTTTTAGGCAATCAAAACAAATGGAAATTTGTGGTTTTACTGTTATAATTCCCTTTAATTTCCCTGTCTGATTACCAAACACTTTTCCACCTTTTCTTTTTTTTAGTCTTAAACTACATTTCAAGTTCCCTATAAAAACTACAGTACCAATCATTCATAAATCCTCTTTATACAGTTCTAAGCTTTTATGAAGATCATAAATTTAATCACAAATCAATTTCGCTGCTAAATTCCCAGTGATATGATCGGTTTATAGCTTGCAAAATTTCCCACAAGATATCATTGATTTTTATGCGTTTTTTCAAGTGAAATTTAATCCGTTTCCATTTTAGCGATTAGATAGGGATTATCACATAAATCGGCATTGATTAGGCATTGGGGATAATTTTAAACCTTTTTTGTCATATATTTTGTTTTACAATTTATTAGTATATTTATTTATTATTACGGCCCTATATAATTTTGTACATTTTACAATCCAGGGTCATTTATGGGTCTCGAGTATTATCAGGTGATCAGCTATTTTATAACCTTCAACGTTTTTCATATAATATATTAATATATTTGCATAATATAGTTATGATTATATATTTATTTTTAAAAACTAAGTCAGATATTAGTGTATATTTTGTATAATTTTGTATAATTATTATCAACAGCCGAGTAAAGATCAGAAAACTTATAGGAATATAATCTTAAACTGTTATACACTTCTTTATTTTTCAACGTATTACCAAAAATTATAAGATATAATTATTATAATAATAATAATTATTTACGATATTAAAATAATATATTTTATTTCGTTCAAATCGGACGCCTATAATTTTATTTAAATTGTATATTTTAAAATTTTAGGTATATTTTTATTTTCTAATATAATCATTTTTATATAAATTTGTACCGATTTTTGCTACCCTATAAAGTAGAAAAAAAAATAAAAAAATTATATACACCAAGGTAACTATCAAATTTAATATTTTCAATATATTAAATCAATGCTATGAGTAAAAATTTTACAAAACCAATGGATTTATAGCAGAATAGCTAGATTTATGGCAAAATATGGAGACTTTTAGCCTTTTTACCGCCAAACTAGCTATTTATCGATAGAGAGGCAACTAGCAGCTTTATTGTTTGGTATATTTCATCTGTTTCACTACGGTCACACTGCTCCAAGCCCGCCGCATGTTTCTTTACTTTTTGTTTTGCTTTGAAATTCAGCCTTAAAATTAAAAAGAAATGAAGCGACCTGCTGCCAGAAAGCCCGAGGATCACGAGGAGGAGCCGCTGGCCAAGAAGCAATTGCAGACAAAGGCGAATTCCCTGCTAAATGCCAAAGATGTGGACACCAAGGCGCTCAAGACATTCGTTCATTTGCTGGCAAGTCTTTGGAATAATCAAATATTTTCAATATATTAAAATATATGTGTAAAAACAGAAGGATCGACCGGACCATGTGCAGCCGGCCGATGTGATGAATGTCCTGGAGGTCATCTTCAAGAACCTGCTGAAACGCAGAGCCCTGGACGGAAGCGAAGGGAAGTCGCTGAAGATCCGCGAATTTTACGAGGAAACGTGGTTGCTTTTGAGGGAGAACCTGCTGACGGAGAGCACTGTGGCCCTGAAGGTCTGCTTCCAGCTCATCAGGGCGGAGGCCAAGCATTCCCTAGCACCGCGGAAGGGTTGGCCAGCCTACAGGATTCGCGAGATCTTGGAGACCCTCCTGGGTGACAAAGAGGAGACGCCCGCTAATGCCCTAACGAACTACGGGAAGTACTGCAAGAATCTAGATGTCCTGGATATAACCATAAAGCATCTGGTGGATCTGGTTCCAGCGAAGGACTTTAAAGATGCGCCCATCCAGGCAATGAACTTCCTCCACCTCCTCAACCTCGTCGATCTGGGCAAGTCGGTGCTAAATGCAGCGGAATATCACGTGGAAACGATCAAGCTAAAGACCTTCAACTTGGAGCAGTGTTCCAAGAGACTGAACGACATTTGGGCGGCTGTGATGCTGAAGAGCAGCGGTGTCGAGGAACGATTGCATCGCCAGATGCTGGTGGTGCTGCTGGAGAGGATTATCAATCATCTGGAGGATCCCATTCAGCTAACGGACTTCCTCATGGACTCCCTGCATCAGTTTGGTTTGTATTCAATGCTGGATTCAAGAGTTGAAACTCTTAATTCAAGGACTTATCTTCTTTTTAGATGGTCCCATTGCCCTGCTGGCCCTGCAGGGACTTTTTACCTTGATGCAAAAGCAGAACATCACCTATCCGGATGTCTACGAGAAGCTGTACAATATGTTTTATCCCAGGATGTTCTACAACAAGTACAAGGCGCGTCTCTTCTATCTCGCCGATATCTTTCTCACCTCCACCCATTTGCCGGAGAATCTGGTGGCGGCCTTTGTGAAGCGTCTGGCCCGCCTTGCCCTCCAGTCGCCCACCGAGGATGCCGTGATTATGATACGTTTCGTTTGCAATCTTCTACTGCGTCACACTGGTCTCCAGAAGCTGATACGTTCGAGTCAGACGGCGGCGGCAGATGAGATCAGCGATCCCTATGATGAGCAGGAATCGAATCCGGTTAAGTCGCAGGCCATCAATAGTTCGCTGTGGGAGATAACCCTGCTGCAGAAGCATGCGGTTCCCGAGGTGGCCAACGCGGCGAGATTCATCAATGCCTCGCTGCCCGTCATGGAGCACGAACTGGGGGCGCTGCTGGACAGAAAGGAATGCAATGTAAGTGGGCTTAAATTGTGTACATTTTAAGCTTGTTTTTTTTTATTGATTATTTTTTAAATTAAATACTTATTTTTCCCTTCTAGATTTTCGACGACGAGCTGCAGTCTAAGGCCAAGCAATTTGCATTAAATTACGAACGTCCCAAGAGTCTGGCGCTGCCCAAAAATGAGGTCGTTACCAAATACTGGGACCTCATCTAGGTTAGATTTTTTTTTTAAATATTAAGTTTAAGCAGGATTAAAATGTAGCCTTTTGGGCTGCTGATGGGCCAACTCGGCCTGGAACCAATTTCCCGGTGTTATATATCTAATCTGGCCCGACAGGGGCTGTGCCTTCAGTTGATTAAGTTGTCTGATTTCGGAGCAAGTGCGGCAGGGACGTATCAAAGCAAAGTAAACACACTCGGCAATGGACAGGAAGCTGAAGCCCAAAAATAGACCCATTAAACCGCCAACGCAAGCTGAAAGATAAAAGGATTTTAATTGAGATTCTTCTGCTTAAATCATAGCTCACATAGGAAATCAGAGAATCCTATAAACTCGGTCTGCTTGCTGGCCCTAAAGGCCGGCTCCTTGAAGTACATATTCACCACTGCCACACTGCGCTCCACATACGCATCCGTAAAGTTCCAGCGACCATTGGGATGCGTCTGCCGGAAGCCATCGTGCGAGATCTTCGTGGCATAACCAATCCCGCTAAAGTTCAAGTCAAAGCACGAGGGCAGACACTGCTCCAGGCAGGACTCCATGGCCTCGATGGTCCTAAAACGTATAAGCTCCACGCACTCCAGCTTGCCCACCGGGCAGGTGGTGTCATTCCAGTTGAGTCGCGGCATATAGTAGGTCACGCAGCCGCAGTGGCGGAGCAGCCAACCGGATAGGCATTCCGACACGCAATTCCTCTGCGTGTAGTGGGCGAACCAGCGGAGCTTTAGCTCATTTCGAAACACACACCGCCTGTACTTGCGGTCCACCCAGCGCAGGTGCTTCTCCGTAAGGATCTTTGCCGGATCTATCCTTAGTTTTGTCTCCATTCCCGGCGCCAGCAGGACGCCGGTTTCGCGTACATTTGGCGATTCATTGGGACTGTGTAGGGCGACCTTAAAGCCAATGCTGCTTGACGAGGAGCAGTAGTAGGCATCCGCCTGGACATCAAGGGTCAGAGATAGTCCCAGGGATTCGCCTGTGCCCTGGGCGCGACGTGGATAGAGGGATATACCCTCATCCGTCTGAGAGCCACGCCTACGATAGCCCAACTCGGCGTGCCAATCCACTGAGTGAAACCCCACGGGCAGGGTTATATTGCGATGGGAAAGAGGAACACTGGGAGGAAGAAAGAGGTAAGAGAGAAAATATAATTAATTATTTCTATTTTAAATATTTATTTATAAAGAAATAGGGCTTTTAAATTTAAAAAACTTTATGGAAACTTAGCCAGGATGCAAACCTTTTGACTTGATAGGCGAAAAGTTTATGTAAAGCTATTTTTTTACCTCTTTTTATACATAAACTTTGGTTGAAGCATATTGAAAACACAGCAGAGACCCTCATCGGTGACAATGGGATGAAATAATCGGGCACATTCATAGTCATCGGCGCCAAAATGACAGGCAATCACCATCGATTTACAGGGTTGAGAAATCTATAAAAATAAGTCATTTAAACATGGCACTTGTATCTATCGAATTTTAATATAATTAATTAATTACCTGTTTAAAAAACTCTTGAAAATTAAAATTAAAAAGTACTCACATTCAGTATAAACTCCTCCCAGTTTGAGGAATTACCGTTGACCATTTTAAGATCCACTTGTCTGCGGCATAGCGACTGCAGCATGGCAAACTCCACAGAGTTTTTGTCCAAATTGCTGACTTTTTCAGCCAAAGCTTGATTTAAGTTGCAGATGGTCACCGCCGGAAAGGGTTCGTTTGTTATAGAAGTCAGCTCCGGATCGATGCCCACAATCACCGGTGTGGTGTTCCACTTGTCGAAGGCATCCTGGATGAGATAGATGGCGAAGGATAGAACCGCCAGGAGAGCTATGCCGAAAAAGAATCTGTAAAAGAACAGATAATAAGTAAATTAAATTTAAATTAATTAAACTAAAGTAAATGAAATTAAAATTAAATGAATAAACTAAAATTAAATTAAATTAAAATAAATTAAATTAAATTAAAAAAGTTTAATTAAAATAAATTAAATTAAATTAAAAAGTATAATTAAAATAAATTAAAATAAATTCAATTAAATTAAAAAAAGTTTAAGTAAAATAAATTTTAAAAAATTAAATTAAAATAAATTTTAAAAAATTAAATTAAAATAAATTTTAAAAAATTAAAATAAATAAAGTTAAATTAAATTAAGTTGGCAGACTTAATTAAATTATTACCTATCGCTGCTGCGTAATTTGCTGTTGTTAATGTACTTTAAGCCATGAATGGTGGTATTGCGACAGAATTCATCTGTATTTCTGGATAAAATGCGTCGCCAAGTGGTCCATGAGATTTTTTTAGTTTTCTGCTCAAATTTATTTCGATTCTTTAGTTGGCTCCAAAAAAGAGCCTTCTGTCGATGGCGTGGCACTCGCATCTTAAGCTTAAAGCACACTAAATGCTAAGCTACTAGACATGCAAGTATATATATTAATCCAAAATTCATTTTTCAATTTGCAAATTAAGTAAATTGTTTATTTAATGTCACTTGGGTGGGTGGGCAATTCAATAGACCACGAACTGTTGTGATTTTTCAGAATAAAAAGGGGGATATATAGGGTTCTTTGAACAAATATGTCACAGTGACTTGACAGAAGGTATATTTTTATTTAGTCCTTGTTATTATTATTATTTTATTAAATAAATTACACTTCCTTGGAACAAATATTCTGGTCAAGCGAAATATTTGGTTTCTCCTTGGAGTAACGCTTAAAAGTAGGCAACATATTTATCTGCCAAATGCTGGGTATTAATAAAATTATTATTGTAAAAATACCATTAATAGATAAATTATCAGAAATTTTTAAAAATATTTTTATAATTTATGCAATTATTTGTTTATAAAAAATTTAAGATTTATTTGTCCGTAAAGAATTACAAAAAAAGAGACAATCTTCTGCCATCCTTATGCTATATTAAATAGTTTTTAGGTTTCCCTATTCCTTACCAGTTTGTAATAAGGTTCAAATAAGGTCCTTTTTGAGATCCTCAAGAGCCTTGTATTGCCTTTAATTAGAAGATTTTTCGGTTACAAACGAATGCCTCATTAGGAGAAATGGAAACTGACACAGAAACAGGAACCCAAGTGAAATCCCGGCCAAAAAGTGGAAAACGTAACCGAAGCAGGAATAGAAGTTCCCAGCAGGACCAAAAGGCTCAAGTTTAGTACAATCAACATGGTCAAAACACACACACACACACACACACACGCCGAGAAAGAGAGGCAAAAAGGTAAGGGATAGAGAGACACAGACGGTGGGGAACCACAGAAAACGACACTTGAACGAAAATCAAATTAAAAGCTTCAATGGCAACAGACGAGAGATGGTCGGTCACTGCTGAGGACCTGCTCTGCTTCTTCTGCTAGCCACATGTCACCACACGGCACCTGCACATCCGTAAATACACTAAAAGAAATAACTAGGATGTATATCTAGAAGGTATAACTGGGAAGCTATATATATCGAGAGAAAAGTCTTGGAGATTTTTTAATATCATAAAATATTGAAAAATTATATTGTTTATTCTTCCTTTTATATGTTATATATATTTTCGTTCAGTGTAGACACACGCACTTTGTATGACTTCATTGAAACAAGTTCATAAAACACTTAACCTGACCGGACTGACCAAATGTCCCATGGGAATGCCCGAATGAACCGAACTGGTCTTGTTGACTTGTTAGCAGTTGATGCCTTGCAACTCTCACTGAGACCTAGGCCACGGCCACCCCACTGCCAAGGACTACCTACGAACGTAGCCACCTACTACTACTGGTAGCAACCGGACCACCGGATGTATCCGCATCAATGAGTGACCAGGCCGAAAGTTTCCCTCCTTGTACGTCTCCAACTCCAACTCCAGCTCCAACTCCCACTCCAACTCCCTCTCCTGCTTTGTCTCCATCAGCTTTGAATCCGATTTCGACTCCTACTGCTGGGGCATCATCAAAAGTTACCAGCAAATTGACCTAATCTATGTACATATGTCTAGCGTGGTGCGATGCGCATACTTACATATGTACATATGCATGTATTAAGGGCTGTATGAATCTACACTGGGAGAATGAAGTGGTTTATGTAAAGGATTATTACAATTCTATTGTGGCAAGAAATAATATTGAATATGTTTAGGAGAAAGTAAAATAATGTACATATATAATTTAATATATATTATTTATTTATTTTAATTCTTTAAAAATGTCTACTTCAACAGCTAGCAGCTAGAACCCTTTGGGAATTATAGTGTCCAAACTGACAGAGCCCCTTGTGTGACTTGTGCACTTTTATAAATTTAATGTTATTAGTTAAATATGTTATATTTTCTTTCTTTCTTATAAAGATTTAAGTTTTTTATTTGTATTATTTTCTTTTCAGTGCATTTGGTTCTGGAGAAGCCTGAGAACGTGTTGGTGTCCCATGTCTCCCCCGCCATTAGAAATCGCTTAGGCTGTTGGCGACGATGCAATTGAGGGCGGCTAATAGCAGACAGATGCCTCCACATGCACGTATGTACATATGTCGATCTTTATATATATGTAGATATAGGCATGTATTTACCAAGTACATATAGCCTTGAGTCGGGTGCGTAGAGTGCGTTTTAGGGCTGACAGTAAAAGTTGGCTGACAGGCTGAAAATCTGTCACTAAAGAAAGCTTAATTTCATTACAATTTCATTATAATTTCTTTGCTAATATAATTAAAATATTTTCCTGAACATTTTAGTTCCCGTTTTATGGTTCATTTTTTATAATTATTAATATTTGTGGCTTTGTGAAATTTCTACGTAGGCCATTTAAGGTCTTTTAGCTGTTCGCCACCCAGCCAAACTTCCTTTTCCCGGCTTTGCAGTTTTCCCAAAGGAAACATTTTCTGGTTTGGGGGAAAGCGAAATCGTCGAACAGCATCGTGAAAAATCATAACTTACCCATGCACACACACACAGTCCAGTATGTGTGTGTGTGTGTAAAAAATCTGAAAATGATAGAAAAATGATTAATTGCAGTTGGCAGTAGTTCAGCAGTCAGTTACTGCTTTTCCCGCTGCTGCTGCTGCGGAAAATGCAGAAAATGCAGCCCAGTAAACCTCAATGTGTGTGTGTGTGTGTGTGTTAGCATTCATGGCTGCCGTGTGAGTGTGTGTGTGTGTGTAGGGGACTTCCCTTCTCCGAAGCCATTTTTCCTTTTTATATTTACTTGGGGCATTTTAATTCCGTTTACCAGCTTTGCGAGGTTTTTTAAGAAAGTTTTAAGCTTATAAAAAATAGTATATTTTTACATTTTTAGTGTTTTAAAATTTTTGAACTAACAAATAATACTTTAATAAATATTTAAGGTGGTTTTTAAGACCTTGGAAGTAATAAAGAATATTTTAAATACAATTTTAAAGGTTTTTTTAGAGTTTTAAAAATGTAAAATAATTTATTTCATGTTTTAGGATTGTTTAGTTGCATTTTAATTTAAAAAATTACAGTCTTTTATTTATTTTTATGTATTTTAAAAATTTTCAATGGGGAAAAAACCATAAACTAAGGGAGGTTTTTTCCCCATTAAACATATTTTTTTAATGAAATATTTAGAAGATTTCAAATTTAATAGATTTTTTGTTTTTTTTTTTTTTTGTAAAGTTCCTTCTTTTCAATTTCTTATTTCTTAATTTTAAAGCTCTTAAAAAAATAGTTTTTCAATTCCTTGCAGGGTATACAATATTTCCCTTAATTCTTAGGGTTTTTCTTCTCTTTTTTTTGCTCTCTTTATTTTTTTTAAGCACAACAGCAGCTGACTGCAGCGATATTAATGATAGATATGCGTTCGCTTCAATGCTCGGCTGCCCCGCCCAACTCCCCATCGCCGGATTCTACTCCGCTTTTCTCGCTTTCTCCTTCCCTTTTTTTATTTTTGCGCCTGAATTATACGATAATATTCCTGATATTTTCTCGGGAAGGCTGCTTTAAATGGGGGGAATAGCAAGTATACTATTATGTATGAGGAATATAAATTGTTGTGGCATTTAAACAGCAATTAAAAATTGAAAATAAATAAATAATAAATTGCTATATTTAAAAGTAAAAGAAAATTTAATTAGTATAGATTTTATTTGGAACAAAAAATATATATAAATTTAAATAAAAATAGTATGAATTATGGTATATACAAGTTCCTATTATAATTTATAATTTGTACTACTTTAAAAATCATCTAAAATTAACTTGAAATTTTATTTTGTTTCCCTTTATATTCCCTAGTTTTTCGTAGAAAATCAATCACCACATAAAACCTCAATTAAAACACATCGAATACCCCTAAAACGAGGTCACCAGATAAATGAATATTAAATTAGGAACCAAGCCAAAATGAATACTTCTCTCATACAAAAACTGGGCCTGCAAATGCAGAGTTATGCTTTATTTTTCAACCAAAATTTAGCCTTTGTCCATGGGTCCAGATGTCCGCAATCTGTCCGTAAATCTGTCCGTTTTGTCCGTCCGCCCGCCGTGTTGTGTCCGTTCATTGTGTTCGCATCGTTGCCTTTTTGGCACTAATTTCCATTTATTCATTTAGTTGCAACATTCATTTCGGCAGCCATTCACACAGATACTCTCAGACGCAGAGACTGCGGCAAAAAATTTGTTGAGAGTGTGTTTGTGTATTTGTGTGTGTGTGTGTGTGTGTTGGGGAAACTCTAGGAAAATGGTGACGAGGGGAGGGCCACATTTATCAGCACAAAGCAGTGCAGGGCCCCGCCTTTGTCGTTCGCCACCCTCCTGATGAGTTGGTTAAGGAGTGACAAAATGTAACTCGGTCGAAAATGTGACAAAAAAGGTCATATGGCTGGGAATAAAACAAACAGAGGGAAAAATAAGGAAAATGACAGCCAATGCTCCTCTGTCGCTGTCACTTTTCTCCTTCCGTAGAACCCTCAATCCAGCCTCTTCCTTCCCCCTGGTTGGCTGGATGTGCTGGTGCCAAGCCACGAGTCGAGTTCCCATGGGTTTTTTGTTTGTTTGCGGCTGCCTGCGAGTTGGGGCCGCCTGATGAAAGGGTTCAAAACTATTTTCAAACTATGTATTTAGCGTGCATTATATAGAGAGTGCTGGAGGGTAGAGTCGACGGGACAGGAAGGGGTCAGGGGTCAGCCATCATCATCATCAGCAGCAGCAGCAGCAGCACTAGAAGTAGAAGCATCATCAGGAGTTGGAGCCGTCATCTTTGTGCCGGGTCGGCAGCTGTTTTTATGATGTCCCCTTTTGGGCACAGTGTGACTTGAATCATAAAAATGTTGCATAATTTTTAATTGTATTTTTTTTATTAATTATTAATTATTATTTACACACAGTAAAATATATCGAGAGTAAGTGATGATATTAGTATATCTCAAA